TCTATACCTTTTTCCCCATGTAACCTATAATTATTTAAGTCCTTATGTTGAACTTGCCTGCCAAAGGTTTAAACTTTGTGAGGTTACAGCAGCATCACAGGAGTTTTTCAGGACACATGCCTAGAAAATTTTCCAGTAAAGAAATAAAGGTAATATGTGAAAAATAAGAGCATCTTGGTACATTCTTATTAAGCTTATAGGAAACATACAAAGAGAGAATCAAGGATCAGCATACTTGTTTCGCTGGATAAATTAATCTGCCAGTTTCTATCAATTTCTGTATCTATTTGTGATTTTTCTTAAAAAAAAAAAAACACCGCATGAACATTCATATAGCCTAGATATTACCTACTTCACATTTTGAGAGTGTTCACATATACTCACTTTTGATGTATTTTTTGAGCTAAGAAATTAACTGCATAAATTTTGAAAAGGGGGAATAATGAATGAAACATGTCCTTTCCTGTATTGGATTAGTGTCATCAGAAATCAACACAGAAAACAAGGCCATTAAATCTCCATATTCCACAAAGCACAGGAAGAAATTGCTTGCCAGATCACTGAAATAAATCTCAAGTGCTCGCTGAAAACCAACAAGATCCATTAGGTGACTGGGGCAAACTATTTTAATCACACTGTCACCTTTGAAGAGGTCTAGGATGTTGACATAGCAAATGTAATCTAGGAAGTAAGCTAACATGGCAAAGGGTAAATGACAATATATTTCATCACCATTGCTCCAAAATAAAACACAGGTCCAACTTATGATGATGTATGTCAGTTGTGCTAGAGATGAATAGCTTGTTTCCAGTTGCTTGTCTTCAGTTTCCATAACATCGGCAGCACTCCAGCAATGACAATTTAGCATTAGTATGCACCAGTCTCTGCTGGCCCTGAGTAAATAGACAATAACCAGTGCTACTTCTACTTGTTCTAGCCTTCCACAGTCCAGCCACAGTCACTGCAACAAAAGTGGCATTAACTACAGTAATGAAGATGACGATCACCTTTCCCACCTCACTGCTTTCACTACTTGTACCATTGGCCTGCCAAATGGTAGCTTTTACTCCTTCACTGACAGTCAGATTCACTGCCAATCTCATCTCAAATCTTTGATTCCTATCAGGAGTTCCTTTCTTCCATTCTCAATGCTTCTTCAATCCTGCTCTCATCTTTTAGCTCTATGTATACTATCCCCCACACATCCTCATCATGTTAGTGAAACTTCATTCATCTTCTCCAATATAACCTTCAATAATCAAGCAGCCTAACTGCATCCTTTCAAAACCCTGTTCCAATGAAGCAGTTTAATTTAATTTTTTACTCTATTATTTACTGCCCAGATGCCAACTGACTCCGGACAATGTACAATAATACCAATAAAGTAAAAATAGAATACACGATCATTATAAAATAATAAACAAGAACAGACAGCAAATCCAGCTAACCTCACCCACTGACAGTCCTTTCCATACCAGCATTAAACTCTCTGTGAGCTCTAAAACAGACCTACCAATTGGTGTGTATGTGTGTTTGCATGCGTGCACGCACATATGTGCATGTCTGTGTATCAGAGTATGTATATATATATATATGTGTGTGTGTGTATGTATGTGTTATATATTTTGTACAACTAGTACCAATGTCTATAATGGTCCCTTCTCTTATTTTCTCAGAGAAACCACCTGTTAATTTAGTTGGGCTGAAAAAGAGTGACTGCCTCAAAGTCACCCAGTCAGCCTCCATGCCTTATTGCAGAGGTGTCAAACTGGCGGTTCATGGGCCGGATGCGTCATGTGCAGGCCACGGCCATCCCACGTCCACAAATGGGAAAAATGTCGCAAAAATCACATGACAGCAACATGACACCATGAGTTTGACACTCATGTCTTAGAGAAAACTGAAGCCCACACTTTCTCAGTTTCTAGCCCAACATGTCAAACATTGCACTTGATTCTCTTTCTGTATGTGCAGTGATGTGTAAGTAACAGAGCAAGAGAAAATATTTCTGTGTCTATTATCATGAAAAATAATTGTTTCTGTACTCCAGTATTAGTCCTTTCAACTATCCAGAGATTTAATAGAAGAAAATAGATGTACTTCTATTTAGTGTTTAGTGCTCTCTGAACTTTGCTATTTACTTGCAGATGTAACATCATCATTGTGATTATTCAAAGCTTTCTTAAGTTGCCCCAGCCAAGCAGTAATTGTTTGCAGGTAGGGTAAAACTATCAACCTGCCTGGGATTCTTCATGAAAAGTCTCTCAGATAGTAAAAAAACAAGGCAATTTCCTTAATTACATTCAGATGTATAAAACTAATGGTATAAGTTTGGAAATTGAAGTGTAGCATGTAGAGGGTATATAGACATAGGTGTTGTAGAAAAAAGGGTGATTTATATTTGCTATACTTCACATGTTGGCATCAATACTTTAGTGTCAACACAGACTTCCTAAAATCATGATTGCCCAACTTCTGCATGTATAGTATGCAGTATAAGTATAAAATGGAATATTTATAAGTTGTCTCACATGTTCTGCAACATGTGAGACAACTTATAAATATTCCATTTTATAAGTGATTTGACATTGGCACTGGCATTGTCTCAACATAAATTATTTTAGTGCTCCATTCAGAATATTTACTTCTTCTTCCCCATGCCTTGAATTATAATGCTTATGCAGCTTGAATTATAATGCTGATTTAATTTGGGCAGACTCTTTAATTCAGAGTTCCCTTTCAATATTTGGATCAAAGAGATCCAAATTGCTATTCTAACTTGATACTTCAGCAGGAAACACTTGTTCAGTTTACAAATAGTCCTTGAGTTACGACAACTCATTCAGCAACCATTCTAAACTGCAATGGCACTGAACGAAAGGGACTTATGACCTGTCTATGTCTCTGTGATCACATAATCACAATCCACTCACTTGGCAGCTGGCTCACAATTATGCACAAGAAAATTCAGTGGGAAAGCTAGAAGGAATTGTAAGTTGCTCCTGCTGTCACAACTTTTTAAACTATCCACCCACCCATGCACCATCGTGTTTGTCATTGGCATTTGCACACCTGCCCACACTCCATAGCACATGCTACAAGGACCCACACACCTGCCTGTGCTCAATAACATGTGTCTATGGCACTCACCTCCACATAGCTCTCACCAACAGCTCTCATTTGCTGGGCTGAAACTCTCTCTACTTCTCATGTCATTGTCAAATGAAATATTTGGTCAATGACCCATGCATGGATTAAGACAGCAGTCAGGAGTGTCAAGTGTTTATGTAACATCATTCTGCATCACATAGTGACAGAACTGCATCACTTAGTGACAGAAATTCTAGTCCTAAGTGCTGTCCTAACGTCAGGACTATCTGTAATGATTTATTTCAAAAGAGCGTTTGAATCAAGTTTCTGGAATCGAAGTGCCACACCATAACATGGTCATACATTTAAATGTTTTTGTGATAACCATTTCAATGGAGAGAATCAACTACACACAACTCTAGCAATATGTGTACAGCATAGGGATCTGTACCAATATAAATTATACAAAAACAAAAAAGAACCCCTGGGCTAGTGGTGAAATCTAAAATTTGTTACTCCCGGTTCTGTGGGGTTCTCCGAACCATCCGCCTCTATCACTCTATCAGGCATTCCGGTCTGAACCGGGAGCATTTCACCCCTGCCTGGGCTAGATCTTGCATAAAGTTGTTTTATTTCAGGTGACTGATCTTAGATAAAAACTGTATTAGCTTGTGAAATAAGCTGCTATTTAAAAGAATTAAGGAATATATAGTTTGAAAGGGACTTCAGAAGTCTGTGAGTCCAATTCCCTACCTGGTGTAGGAATCCACAACTATATTATCCTTGACAAATCTGGCATCTGTTTATATAGTTCAGTAAAGAAGAATGTATCGCTAGCAGATCTTGATGTTAAGAATTTTTCCTGATGTTCAGCTGAAATCTGCATGTTAGTCATTTTGAAACCCTTCTATCATGTCTTGTCACCTGAAACAACTCTAAGTTATTCTACCCCACATTCTATATGGCAGCTTGAAGATAGTTATGTCTTTATACATGCCCAGTTCCTTGTAATTTCTCCCTTTCAGGCCCTTATATATTAGTTAGTTATATATTAATTATATACTAGTTGCTTTCCTGTTGAAATTTTCAAGTGTGATAACATCCTTCCTAAAATGCAGTGCCCAGAACTGGACTCAATATTCTAAATACAGCCTGTAATTGATGGAGAAGAGTCAGTAGCTACAGTAATAATTAATAGGTAATAACTATTAGCTTACAGATAATGACAGCTATGTTTTTAATTATGCTTCTGCTTGAAAATTTTATAGCATTTTAAACAAATAGATATCATGAATTATAACTAAACAAATCCATCTGAATATATTCTTTAGGTAACCAGCTGCTGCCAAGTTGTGAAGAAAATTATAGTGAGCCTTCATGCTGTATTAGAGAAATGGTGATTGTACTGTTATTTATTCCCTAGCTTGTAGATTGAAATTATACCTTCCCTTTAATATAGATATTATTACCCCTGAGAAAACTGTTCTAATATTTATGGATGAATATTTGAGAAGGGGAAGAAAAGATGGAGCCTTTCTTCTTTCCTATTGGTGTTCATTCTGCATAGGAAGTGAATCCTAATAAAATCCCTAGGAACAAATCTACGTAGTTATTTCTTCCAGTTGCTGCATTGTGTTTTATAACAGCATATACTTGAAAAAAATTAAACATGCATATGTGGCTAAATCACATAGCACTTGATCAAATCTTGTATGTATTATTTTTACATTTTTTATGCAAAAGGAAATTCTGAAATAAATATTGTATTTTATATCCATAAAAGTGTAACAGGATCATGAAAGACCTCCAGTTTAAAGTATAGCTATATTCACTTGTTTTGCTTTATCATCTCCCAAAGCTTTGTTCATAAAGCTAGTTAATATTTTCTTTCCTTTTCTTTTGTTCTTTAGATTTGTGATAAAGAATGGCACTACTATGTTGTCAACGTTGAGTTCCCAGTAGCTACCTTGTATATGGATGGTACAACATATGAACCTTACCTTGTAACTAATGACTGGCCTATTCATCCATCACATATAGCAATGCAACTCACTGTTGGTGCCTGTTGGCAAGGTAACTATATTAATTTGAATGAGTAAATTGAAATTTCATTGTATTGATATTTCTATTAAAAAGAGGAATGTATTTAATGAAATCATAGTTTAAACACCACCAACTGAGGAATGTTCTCTGAGAAGAATTTAGACCTTCCTAAAGTTTTATGCAAAAATGTAGGCAATACACATCCAAAAAAAGTAATTTAATTTAATTTTTAGAAAACAAGCATTTATTGAACAATTTAGATATTCTCAATGCAGCAAGATATAGTACTTCATTATTCAAATCTACATAGGCTCTCATTTCACACACACACACACAGTGTGTGTGTCTACTCCTTCAGATCAATTCTTCCAATAATTTATTGGAATTCCCAGACCTTTTCTGTTTTAATCCATTCATTCATACCTGGAATTAGAAATTATGTTTCATTTATTATACACTGTGCTGTCTTGCAAATTGTTAAAAATTACTTGACTAAAAAGTGTTGCCCTGTTCTACTCCAAATAACCATTTAACTATGTATGTTTTATTTTGATTCATTTTTCCATACTTTTCTTTTACTACTACTGATATTACATCATTCATTAAATAGCTTGATGATACTCTTTCATTGATTTCTTTCACTTAGTTCATGTACTATGATTTCTTTGGTGTTAACTTAGTGTGACTTAACAGTTTGTAATTCAAGAAGATATATATATATATAGAGAGAGAGAGAGAGATAGATATATGAATCGTGAAATCATGTACTGTACTTCCTAAAGTGTGGGGTTCTAATATAGCTTGTTTTATGTTGAATTTTATTTATATACACATAACATTTCACTATGAAAATAAGTATAATTGTTCTTAATGTAATAAAGTCTACCCTTATGTCAACCTTCCATAAGCAGACTCTGTATAATATGTGTTGGGATTGCAACAACTGGAATTTCTATCCAGCTTAATTTTCAACCATTTTCTTTGGGAGGGAGATTTAATGAGTTCTGGCAATCCTAAATCACATGACATATATTACAAAAAGCCATCAAAACATTATTAATTCCTGTTTCATTATATGATGATGGTGTTGATGTTGATGATATTTGGTTTATGACTATAGTATTGTATTCATTCAATTTTCCTCTCATGCTTCAAAAAGTCAGCTAATTAGAAATTAAGTGCTTGACAATCATGTACCTTAGTTAATAAGTGGTAAAGTCTTAGTTAGGTCTCATAGCTGTTATTTATTTTGAAGTGATACCACCTCCAGCTTTACACTTCTGGTCAAGCATATGCAAAGAAGAATGTATCTGTATAAACAGAATGCATTTTGAATTTTCATTTAATTGTTCTCACTTCTGCCATCTTCAGGATGCTAAGGACAAGAGGAAATATTGTGACTCAATCTATGCTTCTCCATCTGAACTGTAGGAAAGTGTTCTCTTGACTGAGCTTTGAAAGATCCTTGAGTAATAAAAACTCTCTTGACCCACTGCACATAAAAAAGGAATTGAGAGAGTTTATATCTCAAACTTGATTGACAATTGGAATTCCTAGCCCTAGCTCCTAAGACTTATCTGAAACTGAAAAAGAGCTGATGTGATTCCAATCTTCAAGAAACTTGGGGTTTGCAAAAAAGCATCTGAAGGACTCTCAGACTGTGAGAAACAAACTCTAAGCGGGCTTTCCTGTGTTTTGCACTGAGGAGAGGCTTACATCTAGTCACTCTGCCTTAAAGCCCAGATTGGTGGAGGGCTGCAGTGATGGTTGTCCTTCTGAAACTCTGTCCCATCTCCACACAGGATCTCTGGAGCTCAGTCAGAGTGACTATTGGATCCTTGGCCACTTCTCTTACTAAGGCCCTTCTCCCCTGATTGCTTAGTTTGACCAGGCAACCAGCTCTTGAAAGAGTCCTGATTGTGCCAAATTTCTTCCATTTGACAATTATGGAGGCCACTGTGCTCTTAGGAACCTTCAGTGCAGCAGAAATTTTATTGTAGCCTTCCCCAGATATGTGTCTTGTAATAATCCTGTCTCTGAGCTTAATTTAACTCATCACTTGAAATCCAGTCTTCATTCTTTTACTCTTGGTTGGTTGTTTCCTGAGATATATTTCTGTGTCCATTGATTGCCGATTTTTAGAACATCAAAAATAATACAATAATAGCAACATAAATAAAATGGAAAAATGGAGAAAACAGTTTTGTGGTTTGCTATTTCTGGAGCAAAAATTTAGGTAGAGATTTTTTTTTAAAAAAAATACACAGCTGAAATATATGTTTCAGAGCAAAAAGATAACCAATAGTATTGTAAAAATAAAACATTTTATTGTATTAAATAAAACTGCCTTCCAAACTGAAATCAGATGAATCTTTATAGTCTCCATTAAGCAACACAATGCAAATGTAACTATAGGTCTAAAGATTAGCATAAAAGGATTAAAATAATTGCCTAGAGGTAAGTACAAAACAGAAAGTTTAACTGAAAGGAATTTTGAAGATAAAAAGCCGCACTTGAAAGATGAGTGGCTTTGCTTTTGTTTTGCCTTTGAATTCTTGACTCCTGTAACTGTCAGAATAAGTCTTGAAAAAAGCTTGGAAATTTTTTACCATTGCCTCATTCCTATGCCTTACCTAAAGTGGCCTAGCTGGGTATATGCCTAAGGCAAGACAAATGGTCTCCTGGTTTCTAGCCTGCTTTTTACCCACAACACTTCTTCAGTTTTAACCACAATAGTACATGGGCAAACAATCGATACAAACCGGTATCAGTAAACCGCTCCAAACTCGATTGCCGGAAATATTTCAGTAACAGAGTGGTCAATGCCTGGAATGCTCATCCGACTCCATTGTTACAGCCTCAAACCCTCACAGTTTCAACTTCAAACTGTTTACCATGGACCTCACTCTCTTCTTAAGAGGTCCATAAAGGGCGAGTGCATAAGCGCACTAGCGTGCTTACTGTCCCTGTCTTACTGTTCCCATTTCTTTGTATTTGCTTCCTTTGTTTATGTTTATGTTCATACCTATACTTGTTATCTGTACATGTTTGACAAACAAACAAATAAATAAAATAACACCAAACTGACATTCATTTATACATTCCATTCCATTCCATTCATTCATTTATTCATTCATTCTGTCTTTATTATTTTTAAAAATAACTCAAGGCAGCAATTCTTCTTCTTCTTCTTCCTTCAAAATGCTTCTCCCTTCTCCTCCTCCTCCTCCTCCTCCCTTCCTAATGAGCCTTCTTCCTCCTATTTTCACCACAACAAATGAGATGAGTTGGCTGAGACAGAGTGATTTGTCCAAAATCATCCAGTTGGCTCTCATGTCTCACAGTCTCCCTGTTTCTAGCCTGGTTCCTTAACTACTAGACCAAACTAGCTTTTTATTTAGATAATAAAAAAATAAATTTATCCTAAACATAGGAGAAAGCCAAATCTAACAGACCATAATTAAGCAAGTTCAGGTGCTATGGATTACTATACACATATGAAAATCAATTTTAGGCATAAAATTACATATTTTCAGACATTTCGTCTATTGGCTAGAATATTTTCTGTTTAAACATACGTTTCATACAATTTCAGCTTATTTTTGAATGTGATCCATATTATAAGAAAAGACATTATTACTGCCACCTGCTATTCTGTCATTCACATATATGGCTGTTTGCCCACCTGCCTATCCTTTTCTCTTTCTCTGAATAAGACTGAATGGAGAATAAAAGACAGTTATCTCTAACCAATTACTTTTTGCATTTGAAGCTAGCCATTTCTTTTGCTATGTAGATGAAATACAACCCAAATTATATTTTGTATGAAACAGACACGTTGATTAAAAATCTCTAAAAGTTGTACTTGTTTTCAACTGCACTGAAAAATGTACCACAAACTAAAGAGTTATCACACAAGCAATCCCTACTGCTAGTATAAATTAGAAAAAAAAATCTTTCTATGCCCTCTTTTTCTCCAAATTTCCCTTGTTGATATATAATTGATATATTGATATAATTATATTTAATTGTAGTTGGCTATAGTTAATGAAATTAAATCATTTATCAGTGATTGTGACTATATTCAAGAAAACTCAGCAGTCATTTTGGCCACTTGCATAGGAAAGACAGAGATGGCATGTCTTCAATTCTCCCATGGTTATTATTGGCTAATGCATGAATAAGACGTCAATTAATCAGATATGCTAATTGAAATGATCATAAACATAGGGAGTAGTTCATTATGCAAAGTATTTCTCTGTAGCATTCTGAGGCTCTTTTGGTTTCCAGAATATATTACTATTTATTTTTAATTAATGGAAGGGGAACCATAAAAATATAACAATGTTAAATTATAGATCACAGTCCATAAGTATGGATATACTAATCAATCTAAATTTGACCCATATGCATATTGCAGCTACTTGTGGATTATTTTGTTCTATTAAATGTCAAATAGAATGATTTTAAAAAATAGTGCCAGGAAAAAAATACTTGGTACTTTGTATATTTTATACAAATTATTAATTTTTCCAGAAATACATGAATTTTTCTATGCAGCCTTTTCCCCTAAGTAATTATTCTAGTATATAATTTCTCCTGAAAAATTTTACCTATTATTCAGTTTATTAGCATGAAATTTAACTTGCATTTTTTTAGAAAATTCTCTCAAATATGGTATTGATATAAAAGTTTCAGAGTGATAAATAAAAGTAGTGCTGGTCAATAAAAAATAATAAATTTTCCTATTTTTACTGATTGCAGTCATTTTTTGAAGTTCTAAACAGTTACATAAATTTAAAAAATATTTACATACTTTAGAAACATGTTTTTTTTTACTTTTAAAACATATTACATTGTCCTAAAGGTGCTTTTTCACTAGGCAACTGGACTTTCTTGTTTTTTCTTCGAAGACGTTTTGCTTTTCATCCAAGAAGCTTCCTTTGCTCTGGCAGGATAGTGGGGAATGAAAGGATTTATATTCCTTGCAGGCAGCTGGTCATTTGCATCCTTTTAGAGGGCCGTTGAAGCACTTGGAGGTTTATCTGTTTCCTCAGGGTCACCCGAGTAGCGCTCCTGGTTCCTATAGTCTTCAGCTTTTACTCTGGAAATCCATTCCTACTCCCACATCATTCAAAGGGTGTTCATCCCAAATTGTATAGCTAAAAGTCTGTAGAGATTCTCAGTCATTCAGGTCATGGAACAATCATAAGACAACTATGACCTGAATAACTGAGAATCTCTGCAGACCTATATCATTACATTGCAGTAATGTTTATCTATATATGTGGTAAACAAATCTTCCTATTAAATAGAAAACATCTTCCATAAAGCCAAGATATAACTGGTCCCTTTTTCTTTTTTAAGTTATAAGTAATCTTTCTATATCAAGGTCTGGCAAAAAAATTAGCTATAATTCATTTTTCCTTGTATCCCATGAGATCAAGGTAGAAATCATAAGAATTTTTCAATTTCCATCCTAAGAACTGCACGTAGTAGCACTAATTATTTAATTAAAACATAGAATAAGAATTTATTTCCTTAGGGTTACAATGTATTCATGGAGTATCTAAATTCTCTTTGTCTATCTTTCTTGGCATCTACCCCCAAGATATCATTCTCCTTATTTTCTTTACATTTTGCTCTTTTTTGAAAAATAAAATCAATTCATACCTTGAAGTTAAACAATGGTCTTTCCAAATTATAAATGATACATAATTTTTGAGAACACACACTGGCCCCGTGTATAACAAAAGACTGTAGTATTAAGTTTCAGTTAATCGGATGAATTTTAACAATGATAGTAAGAACAACTTCACAATAGCTGAATTAATCATTGCAGGGGATACTGAGCTTCCTTTTACTGGATGTGTTTAAACAAGTGGTTAAACCGATAACTATTAGGAATAGTTTAAATGGAATTCCATGCTCTGAGCAATGGACTGATATTGAAAGTCAAAATAATCCCTTAAAATTTTTGATTTTACAAAAATGTGAAGGAAGTATCAGTGTTTTGACACTCCGCCTACAAGAGTAACTTTTTGTCAGAACTTCTTAAATGGTTAATCTTATCACGGCATGTTCAGGTACAGAGAAAAGACCATGTGTTTGCCATTTCAAGTTTGCAAAAACTATCAGTTGTATTATTAATTGTTGCAAGTAACTAAATGCTTGTGAAGTTTGGCTGCATTTGGCTGGGCTCAGGTGGTACAATGGCAATAAGGTTTGTCATTAATTTTATGATGCAGGTGGTTTCGGTCTTTTTTTTTTTCCTGGATGTATGAATGCATTTCATTTGAACTGTCTCCTTTATTTAATTTTGTTGTCTGGCTGATGTTTGGCACTGAAAGATATGACCAGTGTTTGTAGTTCCTTGAGAAGACTGATTGTTCAGCTAAATAATATTTTGAACTATAAGGAATCCCATTCATTTATGAGTGCTTTAGACTTTGCTTGCTTGCTTTCCCAGGGAAAACCTGGAATGCTTTCATACAAATGATGCCAACCTGTTTATTCCTAACAGTTATTTATAAAAGTGAATTTTTAAAATATAAAAATACTCATATTTACATCAATTTGTGAAACACACATCCAGAAAAGTTTCTGTCCCTTATTCATTTTTCTTACGGTATAAACCAATGTCATCTTAAGCAAATGTTGTCATTTATAATAACTGATGTCATGATATTCTGAATCCTATTTCTTTGGAACTTGACCTCTTTCTTCAAAGCAAAATTATTTCACTGTTAATATTTACATATACCTAAAATGTGTGATAGCATTTTAATATTTAAAACCCCACAAAATCCAATACATAAACTGTGGAAACTTCTGAACAATTTATTTTGCTGGAATATTTCAGTATGGAGCAGAACTGTACCACAGATTTAATTGTAGCTCATGGAATTAGTACTATGTGACTGATTTTAACATATGTTAGATCAATACTTTTTGCCATTATTATCTTTCAAAAATATCCTGTATATTTTTCTTCCTGCATGCACCTAGTAATAGCACTTAATATTTAAACTTATATATCGCTTCATAACGCTTTACAGCACTCTGCATGTGATTTACAGAATTAGCATATTGCCCCCAACAATCAAGGTTTTCATTTTACTTTTCATTTCATTTACCTTGGGAGGATGGAAGGTTGAGTCAACCTTAAACAGGTCAGGATTAAACTCCTGGGTGTAGGCAAAGTCAGCTTGCAATACTGCATTCTAACAACTGCACCACCATGGCTCCACTTATTGGTCTTTCATCATTGTCTTGATCCTCTGAAAATCTCTGTAAGAATTCACTTGCCCAGAAGGTTAAAAGAGAGTGAAAGTCTTGTGCATTCATAGAATTCCTGCAAATGTTTTTTCACACCAATATTACTGGAACAATTTATTTATTTATTTCCTTATCTATATTTCAAGAAACCATTACAGAAAAGCATAGAAGCATTATGCAAATTTGTGTTGTAGCTAAGCAAATTGGTGGACATTTTATTAATTTAGCGTATCTATTTCTGCTTTCAGAGTACTATTCCTGGTTTAGATTTAATTTGGCTGATATGTTATTTTTAAATCTGGCATTCTATTTTCAGCTTTTTGTTTTACTATATTGAACGTGCATCTCTTCATATATTTAACATAATGAGATGTTGAATTTATCCTGTTTCTAAACTGAACAGTTTTCCCATCATATATTACAGAAATGATTTTTTTTAATGCTATGTTTCAGGCTAGGATATATTTTCCACACCCAAAATATGTGCAATAAATGATGATGGAACTATAAGTAGAATTATTTAACTCCAAAATAATAGTGTATAAGCCATTTTCTTCTTCTTTCAGCTTTGTTTATAAGAATAGCAGCCCAATTATATCAGTTGTTTCAAACATATATGACAGTGCTGAAAATATTGATATTCCGGGGAAAAAATGCATTTATGAATGATTACTCATGACAATTTGTGGTTCCTTTTCAATAGGAGGAGAAGTCACAAAGCCCAGATTTACTCAGTATTTCCATGGCAGTCTTGCCAGTCTTACCATACGGCCAGGCAAAATTAAGAGTCAAAAAGTGATTTCCTGCTTGCAGGCTTGCAAGGAAGGTCTGGATATTAATTCCCTGGAGAGTCTTGGCCAAGGAATAAAGGTAAGAAATGAACTGGTACAATCTTTACTAACATCTAAAACTGATTTATGAAGTGTAGACCACAAGATAGAATACAAAAGCACTCCAAGATGCAATCTAATTTGCCATAAAGTCACACAAAGACACGATAAAAGTGGAACATTGGGACACCAACTGTGTTCTTCCTAGTGTAAACCAGTAGTGGGTTTCAAATCTCAGTGCTACCAGTTCGCTATCAGTAGCGCACAGGCACGCACACTCGCTTTGCGAGCGCACAGCACTTCTGTGCATGCGCAGAGCATTTTTGATGATATCTGGGCAGGTGGGCGGAGCCTCCCGCTGCTGCCACTACCATTTCGCCCAAACCGGGGTGAACCAGGAGCAACCCACCACTGGTGTAAACCTATAGAAGTTAAATGGTGAAAGTGTTTCACAACCATTCAGGATTTCCATTTCATTCTGTCAGTGAAATGATTCTGCTTTTGTGCAGTACTAAACAGATTACTTTTTTATTTTTTATTCTAAGTACAATTCATCAGAACTTTTTAAAAAGTCAAGCCCCTAGTAGATTTCACAAACTGTAACACATTATGCATACAAAACATATGACAGCCCCACCAGTGGGAGTAAGCCATAGTAGATAAGTATTGAAAAAAAATGGGACAAACATATTACAGATACCATATTTTTCGGAGTATAAGATGCACCGGAGTATAAGACACACCTACCTTTTTTGGTTAGGAAAAGAATAAAAAGAAATCTCCCTCTGCCTCTGAGCAATTTTTCCTCGTTGCAGCAAACAGCAAACAGCCTGCTTTACTTTCATTTTTGTTTTCAGCATAGCTTAATTAGCACAAGGGGAAAAAAAATCTGCTCCAGCAATTTACCTCTTTGCAGCAAGCAGAAGAGCCCTGTGCAAAACAGCTGAAAGCAAATCAGCTGAGAGTCAGGAGGCTGATCCAATCAACTTGTGCTAATTAACCTGTGCTGAAGCTGAAAGGAGCTGTTTTTTCTTGCTGTTTGCTTGCAAGGAGGTAACTGCTGCGAGGCAGGGGCCAAAGGGTGGGGGCTAGTGGGTGGGTGGGGCTATATTCGGTGTATAAGGGGGTTGTGTAGACTGAAGAGACATAACACCACCACAAAGGGGCACTAACATGCAAGAAACTGATACAGTTAGACGGCTAAAAACAAACCATAAAAGCACAAATAATAATATTGCATCTGACAGCAATAAAAAAAGCAATGATTATATAGTGTTCTTTCAAGATTTCACAGTACTGTGCAATGTTTCCTGACTTTCAGTTCCATAGGTGTTATGGTAGCTGCTTTGTTCTCTTCAGCAAGAAAGCAAGTGGTATCTTTTTTGAACTATTTTTAGGGGTTCTAGTTTAGATAATTTACTAACAGAAATTATAATATAGAAATCCTTGCATCCACTTTTTTATTGCTATTTAAAGATGCAAATATAATTTCTAAGTGTTTTTATTTTCCCCATAATAACTTCATCCTCCCAGGATCTCTTTCAATCAAAATATCTTCCAGCCTTTCTTCTTTTCTTACTGGTTCTATGCAGGGGTGAAATCCAGCAGATTCTGACAGATTCTGGAGAACAGGTAGTGGAAATTTTGAATAGTTCAGAGAACTGGCAAATACCACCTCTGGCTGGCCCCAGAGTGGGGTGGGAATGGAGATTTTGCAGTATCCTTCCCCTAGAAATGGGAAGGAATGGAGATTTTGCAGTATCCTTCCCCTGCCATGCTCACCAAGCCACACCATGCCCACCAAACCACACCCACAGAACCAGTAGTAAAAAAAATTGAATTCCTCCACCGGTAACATCTTTTCCCCTCATCCCCCAGGTTAATTCACACATTCCATTACAAAAAGCCAACATGATAGTTACAACTGCCTGATCAAAAGCACACTCCTTGGTAATGCCTGACATTAACACATGCATAAAAGGGGGAGGTCTTTGATTTCACTGTCATCCCATAGAGACTCCAGGCTAGTATGAAATCTAATATAAAAAATAGACTTTGTACAGATTATGAATACACTGTAAATATGGCATTTATACAACATCCATTACTGTTGCTTGCATTGTACTGCTTGCTGCTCTTGGAGTAGGGGTAGGGAGGAATCATTAAAACAAAGACTAAAAATAGTATAGTTTTTGCTGATACTATATCCAGATGTCCAACTACGATTAGCCAACATGGGAAATTATCTGCTCTAAAATTCCAGTTTAGAATCTCTGCCCTGTTCCAGAATTTTTGTACTCTCTGGAATATTCCAGCACTTCAAAGATTCTGCTTTTTGGAATCTTGGGTGTGATGCTGTGCCTTAATTAAATCCTAATTATGAGATAAAAAGTGGAATAATTTACTACTAGATTTCAGAAATTCATCCAGTCAAAGATGTCTGGTTAATAACAGAATAATAGAATTGGAAAAACATTGGAGGTCTTCTAGTACAATTCCTTGCTCAGGAAGGAAACCCTATATCATTTCAGACAAATGGTTGTCCAATCTCGTCTTAAAAACTTCCAGTATTGGAACACCCATAACTTCTGGAGGCGAATCGTTGCACTGATTAATTGTTCTAATTGTCAGGAAATTTTCTTTAGTTCTAGGTTGCTAATCCATCATGTATCATTAGAAAAGGAAAGCAGGAACTCAAGCTTTATTACTGTTCCTCAATTTTTATATGTTCCTTCTACAAGAGGAAACATTGGCTGCAGGGCTTCTTTGTTTACAGCAAAAGGGGTTCATTTGCAGTGTACTTAACGGCATGTGTGCTTTCTAGAAATTAAAAAAAAATACTTTGTTGCTTCATTATGAAAAAAAAGCTGCTGCCTACTTATGCTTTTCTTTACAATATTGGAATTTTGTTTCGTCATAATGCCAAGCAATACAGAGGGGCCAGTTCGTTATTATTCAAAGACTTTGTCTTCTCCTGAAAGAAACTATGTTCAAATTGAAAAAGAGGTCCCAGCTTTATTCCAGGAGTCAAAAAGGTCCACAGCTCTCTCTGTGGCCATGCTTTTGAAATTTATACTGACTTCAAAACTCTTTGGGGAATCTTCTCTAATACAAGGCCTAATACCCTTAATATTTTTATGCATCATTACAGTCTCCTGGTTAATGCTAATGATTATTCACTTTTCTATTGCCAGGAATAACAATAGCCAGAACTCATAGTCTAACTCACCTGCCACATAAAATGCCACATTTTAAACTGCTATTACTGCTGGAAGTCTTATTTTTTAAATTGAAAAGTTTTACAAAAAGAATTACAGAAATTTTTCCCCCCCATGTTCCCCCCACCCTTTCCCCCCCCTTCATCCCACCCACCCCCGACTTCCCAGAGCAAAATACAAGGTATTTCATTTAATCAAACATAAACTAGATTAATCTACTTATCTTCAAAGTATTCCCTCTCCCACTGAAGCCTTAACTCCATTACAAATAACCAAATACTTCTAAACCTTCAAATACGCCGAGATTTTCGCCATTTCTGCTAGGTTTGTTACTTTCAATATCCACTCTTCAATAGTAGGCAAAGAGTCCTTCTTCCAATATTGAGCTACCAGCAGCCTAGCTGCTGATATTAAGTTCAAAATTAATTTAGTCTCTGAAACTGTACAGTCCGTAATTATACCCAATAGAAACAATTGAGGAGTAAATTTCAACCTTCTTTTCAAAATATTCTGTATCACCCACCAAATTTTTATCCAAAATGCCTTGATTTTCTTACAGGTCCACCATATATGATAATAGGTTGCATCATTACATGCACATTTAGCTTGCAAGTTCGAGTACATACATGATAATTTTTTAGGATCTAAGTGCCATCTATAAAACATTTTATAAAAATTATCTCTCAAATTTTGTGCTTGCATAAATTTAACATTTCTGACCCAAATCTTTTCCCACGTTTCCATCATCACTGGTTCCTGAAAGTTTTGTGCCCATTTTATCATACAATCCTTAGCCAATTCTGTTTCTGAGTCTATTTCCAGTAATACATTATACAACCTTTTAATATGCATCTGACTTTGATCTCTAATCTGCTGGAAGTCTTAATGCGATGGCCCTCCCACACCTACCATTTCAGGCTAATCAAATTGCAAGATTGCCTGCTTGAGACCCCAAAGTAACTCATGTGTTAAATTGGCTCTTTAAAGGTTGGTCAGTTCACAGGCTACTGGAATTTAAACCATTCAAAACCATCAACATCTCACCATAAAGAGTTTATTTTTTCTAGCAGAGAAATTGTGTTACTGTAAGAAGCCATCAGATTGTCATACTTCCTGAAACATTATGAATGTTTTGTCAAGAAGTATGTTTATTGGCTAGGGACTGATCTGCGTAGTGGAAAAAAAATGGTATTCCCCTTGGAAGTAATCAAAATTTCTCGTGATGACTCCCTATTGATTTTGTGAGACTATTTCAGAAAAAGAACTAATGCTATATTCCTTTTCAAAACTGTCTGCAACAATAATAGCATTGCACCACTTTTTGGAAATCCTAGATTGCCTGATATCATCATCTTAAAGAAGTTTAAGCATTTTATGAACAATATGCTTTTCCAAGCTTTTACAGTCCCCTTAACCCACCCAAATAAACTTCAACCAAATAACTAGGCTGAGGAGATGATGCAGATAATCTTGGATTAAATGAAGCAAATTGTTGGAAGATACTGGGTCAGCTTCCTTCTTGTATAAACATACTACTCCTTGCTCAAAACATGAATCAGTTCTGGTGAATTACATATAGGGCAATGAATATAAAATAGCCTTGACTTTTCATTCTTTGTAATATTTGCAAAGTAAGCAAGAACTGGAAAAGTTCTTTATTCATATTCTGTATTCATTTTTGTTAAATGAAGAGGTCTTTGAAAGGATCTATGGAGCAGGAACCAGTTGGTTTCCTCAACTGTCACTGATATTAAAGCACTAGTGGCATACAAATTTAATATTCAGATCGTCTAGTATGGCAATGTCATATTGATCAATTGAGACAAAATTATTCTCAGAGTGAGTTAGCAACCAGAAGCATCATTTTCAAAACTGTTTGGAGCTGATGCCCCTGCACCAGGCTTAGTTGAAGATTACACCAAACATTGTTTTTGCCTTCAGGAGTTGCTGAAGAAAATTTCCCTGAATCTTATATAGCTTACCAGTTGAATCCAGAAATCATTCTTCAGAAAGATTCTTCTTGCTTGATGAAATTATCTTACTGTAACTAAAGAGTAAAGAGGTTGTATTTGTTATGTTTTAGTAATACTTTTTTGCATCCTGAAGCTCATGCAGTTCTTCAATGAACCATAGCTGCTGGAGAGAGTTTTGTAAGCAATCTACATAGGTGTTTAAAAGAAATAATCATGTTGATGTTGCACTTCAATAACCAACCTTACTACTTGCACCCCAACATCTAATGCAAGTTCACCACCTGTCCCATCCTTTAAGAATGCCTTTGTTTGTCCTGTTTGAGGCTGATGTTTATTTGAAATCTGCTAGAGAGAACCAAAATTGCTTGTTTTCCATTTTGCCTCCAGCAGCTATCTGGTATTGACAAGCAGTTGTTTCTGTAATTGAACTGTGTATTGAGAAAAAGAATCCAAAGTTTAATGTTTCAGCTTCAAAAAGTTTTTAGTCTCTGATCTAGAAGCTGGCATGATGCAAGTTTCTTCATTCATTTTCACCTTTTCAGCCATTGTCTGAGCCAGTTACACGGCAGGTGGCAAAAACGAAACAAGCTGTCAGAGGCAAGTCTCATGCAGTGTTTTTGACTTGGCCTGACAGTGACATGTCTGGATGAAATTGCAATTGGGTTGAGAGCAATAAAAAGAAAGATTGTATCTAGCTTTCAAGAACATTTGTGTAACAATTGTTTCTAAGTGTACACAAATGTATAGAAATGGTAAATTGTCCTGGTTAAATCTGGATTGTAGAGAAACTTATTTTGATTCAAAGTAATTGTTTTGGCTTTTAATTCAAGTTAACTGGAATGAAATAAGTGTTAGCTAATAAAACGATAGATTTTCTTTATTTTGTTAAAGGTATACCTTATCTAAGAAACAGGCTTCAGAATCTTCTTATTTTAGGTGTTACAATGAGTTGCTCTATATCATTTTCTTAGAAAAACTAATTATATCCTTTCACCACCTCTGCAGTATCACTTCAATCCTTCCCAGTCAGTCCTTGTTATAGAAGGAGATGACATTGAGAATATAAATCAAGCTCTCCAAAAAGTCTCCTATATCAATTCAAGACAGTTTCCAACTTCAGGTATTCGCCGCCTTAAAGTGTCATCCAAAGTCCAGTAAGTTAAATTCACTAAGCTTGATAATAGAAGCAATGCATCAGTAAACTCATGTTGAGGACTTTTTAATTTTGGGATAAGTGAAAGAGTTTTATCAGCAACACTCATCTTTTAATAAATTGGCCAGCAGCTTAATTGTTACAGTGACTATGATTTCTGCTATTCCTGCATGCCCATGGAGTTCTGGAATGTGTAGAAAATGGCCTCCTGATGCATTCAGTATAAAATAGGCAATTAGGTTCTCAATGCACATTTAACAAGATAGATTTATCAAGCCTGTTAAGTATCAGTTTGAGTATGTAATTAAAAATACATAAGCCATTTAATCAGATTTAACCATTGACTGTTTGTTATGTTATTTATGAGTTTAAGTTGTATGGGTGCAGTGACCTTTGTAAAGATCATACCTGTCAATGGCATGCTGTGCTGTTCATAAATAATTTGGGAAACTATATTTTAATGCTCATACGGGACTGAGTAATTCTGAAGCTGGTCAGTGAGTAGGCATTAAAAACTAAGTGTGCAAAGATTCCCAATATCTCTGGATAAATATTCTCTTTCAACTGTGTGTTTCTTAAGAAAAAAGAATGAATGCTTAATCTTCCATGAAGTTAAATGGTACATTTTTCAGATGTTTTGGTGAAGATACCTGCATTAGTATTCCAGATATAGATGCCTATGTAATGGTGTTACAAGCCAAGGAGCCCAAGATTACAATGACTGGAATGGATCACTTTGCAAGACCTGCCACACAATTTGAACATGAAAGAGGAGTGATTCTTTTACCGGATGTCAGAATTGTCAGCACGGTTTCTAAAATGGAACATCCTTCTGACCTGAAGGAAACTGTGACTACAGGTTTGTTGATTTTTTCTTTTTAGGTTTATGATTTTCATGACTTAAGTAGAATTTAATGCCAAATATAAATGAATAACGTATAGAAACAGGCTTTGCTAAGATGGTTGTAACCTTGGAAGAAGATTGTTTAAGGCAAGGTAATATGTTCTATGGCTCTTAAATATTATTGTCCTTCAGTAAAGTGCATAATACATTGGAGAAGCAGGAGCTTATTTTATTTCAGCCTTCCCCTGCTTGGTATACCCCAGCCAACAAAGTGTACATCAGATAAACACTGATTTGGGTGAAGAGGTGGGAGCAACTGTTTTTTTAAAAAAGAACAGCTATTCCTTTTTGCTCTGTCCTTTGTGAGCTCTGGAGAGTTAGCATTGACAATGCTGTCTTGTGCAACATTTATAACTACCATAATTAAAATGCCATGGTAAACGTTTCCTGTACCTTCATCCCTTGGGTCATAACAACTTGAGCAGACCAACCTCGGTTGTTTAATTTATTTATAATATTTATATTTATTTATAATATTTACTGATTTTCATTTTAAAATAGTGATTGGTTATAATAAATACCAAAAATGGACAGTAAAATAGTAGTAGTAAAAATAGTAAATATTGAACCCACAACTAATTAAAAGCTAATATCCACGTCAAACTATAAAAATTGAAAAAGTCTGTAAGGAAGATAGCAGTTTCTTAAATGATCTTATCCTTCACTGTTTATTATCACCAATGCCTTGAAAAGTTGTATATGCACCGTAAGGAACACTTTCAAGAGGAGCTCTTCATATAGCATGTGGTAGAGCAAAGTAAAATTAAGTAGTTATCTGTTAGGCACCAAATAGAGATTTTAAAGTTAACTAGGTAACTCTAGTTATTGCCTAGTTATGTCTGCTGAACAGCTGGATTTCTTCCAGTTGTGTCAATTTGTTTTTATTAAATAGGTGGCTCAGGACATGTTGAAAACAGAAAAGGAAGCTAAAGAATGTCAGTAAGCTCTTTGGTACATCACACTAGTGAAAGAAGGTTTATGTGAACCAATTTCTCAGAGTATATTAGGTCTAGAAGCAATAGTTGTTGCCAAACCTGCACCCCCAATAATTTCATTTATTGTAAACATTATGGCCTAATTATTATTGGTGGAGAAGTGATAAAACATAAAGACTTTCTTTGTATGCAACAAGAAGATGGCCACATAAATATAGTGAGCAATTTAACCTTGATCTACTGCATGTTAACAGACCAAGAGAGAGAGAGAGGTCATCTATCTGAAGTGACAGAAATGGATATTCTTGGCCTTCTTCATAAAAGATAATTCATTTAATTGATGGCATGCCAAAGACATTTTATTTGGATTCACACATCTCAGCCATGTTCAACAAAATTGCATTTTGATTTAGAATGATGTACAAAAAATCATTTTTGCATGAATACATTTTATGACCAGTTGGTGAATTAGTGTTGGAAAACCTTTGGGATTATTGGATTATTTCCAGCATTATTATTTTAAAACCTCAAGAAACTGAAATCTTTAATAATGCCAAGTTTTGTTTTTCTAAACTTTTCATTCTTAGTTGCCTAAACAGTGTTCCTTGTAGTGCTCAGGAATAATTCATGATATAAATACTTATACCCACTTTTCCACAGACTTCTGCTCTGTATTACAAATAAACACATCATTTGATAATGGTGCTGAGATTCTCTATGTTATGTTATTAACTATAATAAGAAATTTTAAAACATTTTGCATACACACACACACACACACATTTCTTTCATAACAGTCTTCACTAAATGATGGCATTTTTATCAATATAGTATTTTCTCTGAGAATGAGTTTTCAGCATGATCAATTTTCATTAATATGGAAACCCATGTTTAAGCTTTACTTCCTAACACCTGCAAATATATAAATATTGTAGGGATCAATACCAAGCTGATCAAGGATTATTTCTTAGGGAATATGAAAACAATTACAGCTAAAATACAGTGATGGTTGATTTATAGTACTTATCTCCTTTGTTTATATAAAGATCCTCTCCATATTCAGTAAACATTTTTGATACCAAATAGAGGTAGTTGAGAAGCGCTTCTGTATAGTTTAATCATTTTTAGTGATAATATTCTTCAGAATCCAAAACTCATATTTTATATGTAGATTAGCAGAAACGCTGCCAGGTTATATTTATAGTGGGCATGCAGGAGCAGCATTCAGTTCATTGTAAAGTATTGCATATGCCCAGTGTATACAAACTATTGCAGAAAAAGCTTTTAGATAATCTGTGAATAAAACTGTGAAAATTTAATAATTCTAGAATTACACATGTTGCCACAGCAACTCCGCCTCCATCTTCATCTTCATCATATCCTCCTTCTTTCCTCTCTTCCTTCTTCCATTAGAGATAAAATTAAAGTTTTTTTTATTAGATGCAAAGTTGTTCAGAAAATATAAACCATTCTTAGTTATTCAATTGTATTCACAGAAGTAAAAAGTGATATCAGACCTCTTAGTGTTTTTTAAAGTCCTAAAATAGTAATAGTGAGAAAGATAAATGTGGTACCAAATTACATTCCTAAATTATATTAGTTTATGAAGATTTTTGTTGCCAACTGGAGTTTGCTAAGAGGATATTTTGACATACTGTATATGGACAGAAATATATCCTCTTGATATTAAGGAAGGGATTAATGATATGAGTCATCCATTTTTGAAAAGTCTTCATTCTCTAAAAATGACAAGATCAACCAATATGCTTATTCATTATCTATATTTAATGACAAGCTAAAGGATGGAAATAGTACTAAATGGATATTTTGTGGATATTTTTAATAGTTCCTTTTCTCCATTTATTTATTTAATTTAGTTAGTTTAGATATTTAGTTCATTTAGATATTTAGCTTCTTTTAATTGTTATAAGGTATGTAGGATTTTTTTAAAAAATTATTGTACAACTACTGTATCTTTTGTTGGTAATAGTGATTGATGTTGTAGTTATTTCCATTTCAGTGGGAATATGGATGTGTATCTGTTTATCTATCTAATATACATCTCAAAAGTATTTATGATATTGAGGTAATATTAATACACATTCACTAAAAATCAGCATAATTATCATTATGTAATTCTGTTTGGTGACAGTGCTAGTCAATCTTTGTTCATCTGCAAATTAAGCAGGCAAGGTAAGCTTCAGTTAGTACTTGGATGGGTGACCTGAGATTTCCAGGGAATTAGCAAGTATAGGAAGACAAACAGAATATTTTGAAAAAGGCAATAGTACAAGACTTCTGTATTTAATATGTAAATAATTTAATTTTATATTGTTTTAATGTGCAATTGTGCATTTTATTGTTGTGAACTGCCCTGAGTCCGTTGGAGATAGGGAGGCATATAAATTGCATTAAACTAAACTAAACTAAACTAATATTGCCAAGAAAATCACCTGGATGCTGTCACCAAGAATTAAGTGTCTTTCCAAATTAACAATTCAATTCTGTACTTTTCAAAGTCAGTTTACATAATTTTTTTTTGTTTTTTGTTCTTTTCAGTCATGGAGTGAAAATTGTACACTACTTAAGGTCAACTGAGTATAGTGCCCTGTATATAAATTAAATTTTGAAAAGCAACATTTTATTTTTTTAATATGTTATTTGACATTCTTTATTATTGTTCACAGATCATAAACCAGTTCTGTTAGAAAAAATGGATCACAATCTGGATTTTTGTGATATTTTGGTAATTGGATCAGAATTGGATCCCAAGCGAGAGTGTTTGGAATTGGACAAGAAAGACCTTCAAGGGAAACATATCGAAGCCACTAACTCTACAGCTGGATATTCAATATATGGTTTGAATATTTTTTTTCCATTTCTGTATCTTATCCTAACCTAATACTTAATATGTTTATCTTAAATTAATAGGGCTATGTTGTACCTGTTTTTTTAAAAAAGAATAAAACACATCAGCATGGCAGAAGTTAGAAAGCAGTTCAGTATGAGGAATTGGAAATCCATTTACTATTTATCCTATCAAGATGATTCATCCTAATCTTTATCTGAGTGAAAATGAAGTGGATATTAGTGTCTGCAGAAAGTAGATCAAAGAACATGTACTACATTGAACTACATTTCCTAGCATCCATTACCATTGACCATTCTGGTTGAACCTCTAAGAAGTGCAGTTCAACACTATCTGAAGAACCATGTTTCCATCTTTTTGCTATAGTAAAGCAGAAAATATCTCAATCACGGGTGTCAAACTCGCGGCATCACATTGCCATCACATGACATTTCGCAATGTTTTTCCCATTCACAGAGCAGGGATAGGTGGGGCGCATCTAGCCTTCCGGCTGCCAGATTGACACCCCTGCTCTAGATTATTGAGATACACAGAATTTGTAGTCTTCATATCATTTGCAAATGATTGTGAAACTGCCTGTAGAAACAATAGAACTGGATTAAAGGAAGTGATAATATGTATTTACTTCTGGTACAGTTTTCAGTTGTTGTTTTCCTTTTCTTGACATTTAATATGTTTTATATTGTTTTTACTGGTTCAGGTGTGGACACTATGAAAAACTATGAAAAAGTTTTACGACAAATTCGTTATCGTAATTGGCACACATCTTCCTTTTCTGATAGAAAGTTTAGAATCAAATGTTCAGAACTGAATGGGCGCTATACCAGCAATGAATTCAATTTAGAAGTAAGTAGCATTTTAAAAAAACCAATTAACAATTATTTTTATATTAGAAAATAAAAGGCACAGGCAGTATTTGGTATCTATTAATATAAAATAATTTTCAGATAATTTAGTGAACACGTGTTATTTCTCAATATGTTATTAGGTACCAGTGCAGTCATAAACCCAGGCAATAAATTAAGATATTATAATAGAGTGTGGGAATGATTTCAGAGAAAGGATGGAAGAGATACTGGCTAGGAAAAAATCAGGCAAATGAAGCAGAACCCTCAGTAATTTAACAGTCAGGGTGTTCTGATCCTGCTCACACATGCATATATCACAGGTGAGGTAAAGATTTTAACTGAGGCTTTCCACACCAAATAATTTTCCGTAGAAATTCCTAGATGAAAAACCATGCAATACCTCACGAGTCCACAGTTCAGTCCAGGAACAAACCCAACCTGATTTTGCAAGGCAGGACAAGTCCACAAGGCAAAGGCAAGGCTAAGGCAAGTTCTTTAGGCAAAAACAAGTCTATGAGGCACGGACAAAATCTGTGAAGCAAGTCCAGAGGTTAAGTCACGAGTCAGGGTCCAAGGTACACAGTCTGAGTCAGGAAACAAGGTTCAAGGCAAGGAAACAGACACATTTCCACCCTTGTTTCATTCCACTTGTTGAGCTAAATAGCCACTTCTCAGTACATCCATCAAAAGGAGTGAAGCTCCTCACAAGTAGCCTGGCTGACCTTTGTTGTGCCTGCTTTCTCTCAACCCTATGCACTCTTGGATCAGGGAGAAGAGGCAATTCTTCCACATCTCTGCTGATCAGCTGTAGTTGCATGCCTTCTGCTTCTGAAACCTCTGAGCTTTTCATCTGCAGCTGTGCCTCTCCTGTCCCTAGCTCAGGCGGCCACTTAGCCAGCCACTCCTCTGTGGTGCTTGGCCTCATTACTTCTGACTCAGAGCATCTGGGAACCTCTTGATGTTCCTCCGTATCCCCCTTCGACAGTCCTGGAATTGGCTGCTCCTCATCTGATCTGAAGAGGCGTCTGGGGACTTGACCAGGGAAGCTTCACATAGCAGCCATCACATAGAGAAAGAAACTTAGAAAGGACTGCCTTAATGAATTAAGCAATTAAAAGTGGTGGCTGGAAGTTTTGTTCTTTCAGATTTGCAAGATTCTATTAATGTAGTGTTACAATAAAGTAGATATAACTCATCTACTCATGTTTCCTCTCTGGTTTACCTAGGAAAGCTGACAGATACTTTCTTATCATTTAATTAATTTAATTAAGTCATTTAATTAATAATTTTTCACCAATACATTTTTAAGCCAGTGATTTAAATGAGGTTATTTTTTATTTATAAAGAACAAATTTTCCCTCACAAATGTTGTTTCTTTTAAACTGATATAGTCAGCATTCTTGAGGGCTTGCTTCTCATATGTGTGAAATATAGAACTCTGTGCAGTAGACACATTTTTAAACAAATACTTTGGGACAGAATTGAGATCAGTTCAGAAATACTTGCTATGACATCATGTGCTTGTCCCAGATGATTAGAGCTCTGATTTATGCTGAGTGCCACATACTACATCAGGTTTTCACCTGAGAACAGCTGGTATGTGATCTGACACCGGAGAACATAAATGTTGATTGTTTGTCATGATCAGATCTCTATAGTGTTTTCAGCCACTACTGACTTCTATTGCAGGATAGATCCATTACTGCCACAAGGACCATATATATTATTGGGACATTCCCCATGGAATTCCAGAAACACAAGGTGGATAATTTATGTTTTTGGGATTCCCAGGGGCATGTCCCAATAATCTGGCAGGCAGCTTAATAGTAGAGTGCCTAAATTTAGCAAGGTTTGAGGAGAGTTACCTAGAACAATGTTAGTAGAAGACAAATGAACTTGCACTCGGATTACTCACTGTGGATTTGTTTTATGGAACCTACAGACAACTGACTGTCTACGTTCTTTACGTTTGTTGTTTCTATTTATTCATTGAACTTTGGGGTTTTGTAACTTGGGATTTTTTAGGAAATATTGCTGCAACAAGATAGTTGTGAAATATACTTTCCAGCATTAGTTGACTGGCTTGCTGTATTTCTGATGCAATTGACTAGGTCCAGTTCAACTAATCTCATAGCCTTTTTCACCCCTGAAACTGTATGAGAGTCTGTCTTTTTCATAATTAGTTCCTCTGATTTAGTTGGTAAATCTGAAATCATCACCCTACGGATTAAGTGCTCTCATATAGAGCCAATGCAAATTGTGACCTGATAATACTTCTGCCTAAATATAACTTCTCAGCTTGACTATTATGCAAAATCTGATTAGTATTATTGTGAATACTTCATATTTTTAATATTAGTTTCTGTTTTCTTCTAGGTTAATATTCTACATAATTCCAACTCTAATTCCATGGAATATGCAAATCTTATGATAAAAGAGCCACAATTTTTCCAATCTATCCATCACCCAGAAGAAAGCACAAACAATATTCAAAGCTCAGGTATTACATGAATTAAGTAGATAAGAATGGATTTAACAAAAATTGACCTACATTCTGTTTATGTAGAAGTACATCTAGTGAAGAAGAGACCCCCATTTCTTATTGTTAGAAAAGTTCTAACGTTCAATTGGAATCTGAATTCCTGTAACTTAATATAGCAGGATAATTGTACTTGCAAGACTCTGTTTATATAGCTTTACAATATAGTAGATTTAGCTCTTCTGGTTGTGTTTCCTGTGTTTCTACGTGGTAAAACTGACAGCAATCATACAAGTACAATTCTCCTGTCGTCTGCTTTACAGCCTGAAAAACTGAGGGCCTCTTCTCAACTTCTTGCCCTGCCCATTATCTAGTTGCAGGCCATACTGCCTCTTTTCTGATCATTGCCTAGGCAGCATTTCTTTGCCCATTCTCCCAAGGTCTTTCCAACATACCATTACAATTTGAATGTCTCCAGTGAAAGGAAACAAGTCTTTTTCCTCCTTCCTGCTCCTTTAAATGAAGATTGAAATAATATCTCCCCTTAAGGCTATTAAAGCTAAGCATGCAGCACCTGCTTCCTTAACAATTTCTTATAAGATTAAAGTTTCCAATCCCCCCTCCCTCCGCCGTGACACAATGGTGCATATTTCCTTGGTGGTGATGGTGGTGGTATTCTTTTCTTCTTGCAACTTATTGGCTGCTCATCTCCAGCGAAATTAGAAGAAACATAAAACAACTGAAAACCTAAAATCAGACAGCCCACACTAAAATAAATATCCCCTTTTAAAATCTTTTTTAGACTGCAATACCCAGAACCAGACATATTTTCCCAGTGAGCCTTAACAAGGGAGAATATATTTGGCCTATTTCCCCTCCCTTGGACTCTTGGCTAGTTTTAATACATCCCAAAATAGCATTTTATTTTTGTCAGCTGCATCACGTTGTTTGCTCATGTGCAGCCTCTGATCCACTAGAACACCCAGATTCTTTTCATATGTATTACTACCAAGCCAGATCTCTTTCTTGCACCTATTCTTGTGTTTTTCATTTTTCTTTTCAGATGCAGGAGTTTTTATTTCACCATATTAAACTTTGTATAATTCATTTTGGTCCCGTGTTCAAGCCTGTCTAAATCTTTTAAATCATCTCTTTCTGATTGTTTGCTTTAGTTTTGTGTGATCTGTAAATTTGATAATTGTCCCTTCAAACCTTTCATTCATGTTATTAATTACATTTTGAATAGCACAAAGGTAGTATTCCACTTAATACATTTCTCCACATTGGTGTAAAACCATTTATAAGTTCCTTCTATTTGCTAGCTTTCAGCTGATTGTGAATCAATATATAACATAGCTCTTGTTTTATCATTTTATTGATAAAGGTATTAGAAACTTGTTGAATGCTTGGCTGAGATCAAGGTAAGCACACACACTATGCCCATGGTCTTCACCACCTCACCTATTGACTTTGGTTAAATTTGATGTAGTTACTTTCGGCCTATCTTCTTTCTCCTAGAAAGATAATTTTGAAGTTAAGTCAAATATCCAAACATGTTTCACCGGAAAAAATTTAATATGCACTTCTTTCACATCCTCACCTAAATCATTAGTAAAAATATTCTAAAAATTGAGGAATAGCACCTTAGCAGGAAGCTGGGATAGGCATCAAGCCCAAGAATCCTGTTCCTTCATCAAGATCTAGAGGCTCAAAAACCTCTCAGATAATATTTCCAGATATCACCTCTATCAGATGATCAGATTCTATGCATCCAACTTCCAACTCAAAGTAAACATGCATTATTTTATGCACACAGCAACCAATTAATGATTCTTTTGGCCCATCCTTCCCTACCAAGGTCCAAATCACTCAAAAAAATGTTACATTCCATGAAAGTTCTAAGTGTGGAAAAGTACTGACACTTCACCATCAATATGGCCATGATGTAAGCTCATATTTGAGCATGCATATGCATCTGGTCACATTCAATGTTTTAGTTTCGCTAGTATCATAATGAATTGTCACTTGACAGAGAGAGGGAGAAGCCATTTGGAGCAATCCTGTCTAGAACCTTCATGTCGTTCATATTCCAGATGCCCAACCAAACTGCCATCCCTGCATTGCTAGGGAATTCAGTCCTAATCAAACACACCATTCTTTCTCTAAACACATCTTGTGATGGAGAACCCTTCTGTTATAAACAGTTCAACATCAACACAACTTAAACCTTGATCCAAGAAACAATATATTTCCCAACAACACCATTTGCATAGTTAGTACTTGCAGTATTTTTCTTTCCTTTTCCTGTCCTATTCCATGAGAATAATGCTTACACCCTCAGGGCCTTTAGCTTTCTTCCAAGGTTTTCAAAATCTGTGGCAATGTGCTTATAGCTGCTTCTTGAAGTATTATATGTCAACATGTGCCCTAGCAGGAAGGATTATTTTTTTGCTGGACTTAATTAGAGTTGAAAGCTGTTCTGTTATGTTCCTGATCTATGCTAGTGGCACAAGCAGACTTTACAAGCCATTGAGTCTGATCAGCATACACTTGTTGCAGTTCTTCATATTAATGAACAACCAATTCCCCAACTCTTTTTCTTTGTCTTAATAGCTGCATTCTCTCTGCCATTTAGAAAACTAACATCGTAGTCTCTAATTCTGACGTATCATTTTCTTTTTCCTTCCCTAAGTTTTATTGTTCCAGTGATACAGAATACCTTTGGCATCCTTCTATTCACCAAGCTTGCTCCTCTCTTTTTCTGTCCATATACAGAGTTGCTCTCACTATTAATTTCTGTTGTGATATCTGCTTTCTTTCTACTGATAAAACATTGTATTTTCTTATCAGCTTAAATGTGTCTGTTTGCTGCTTCTGTCCCTAGACTTTTTCTTAAATGTTGTAATGTCCTTGCATGGGTGGTAAATATATGCCAGGTTGTTTTCTGGTGGAAAAACAAACTTGCCATTGGCATTGCAGGTGCTCATCATAAACTCATGCCCATTCATTGTTGCTTTTACTTATTAAAGCATCATTAGAGAGTTTTTACTCATTCTTTGTCCCTTCTCAAACTTTTGAGTTAACCAAGTACAAACACATGACTTATGACGATGTGGGTGCCTCCTTAAACTCCCCTGCCAACGTCTCCTTAAACTCCCCTGCCAATGTCTTCTTACCTCTTCCTTTTTGTTTGCTCAGTGAGCTTGACCTGAACAAAGAGCATGGTGGCACCAAATAACCTCTTCCCTAGATTTTACATGTGTTGCATCTCCTAGTATCCATGCATACAAAATGAGTATGCGAGAAGGATACTTTTGCATAAATATTTTTATGCATTAAGGTCCCCTCCATACTGATGATGATATTGTGTATGTGATTCTGTTGGAAGACATATTCACCATTTACATATTCACTGACTCTGTAAGTAGTTTCCGGAACTCAAGAGCTGGAATTATATAATAATAGTAAGGGATTCTACACACAAAAGACAGTTTAAATGTGATAATCACCTACAGATGAAATTGCTCTTGTTTTATTTTTTTAAACTCTGTATTGGAGAATTGTATTGTTATACTTTTTGTAATGGTTTCTTTTAAGTTCAACAACAAAACAAATGTAACTGCAGTTACATTTAGATATAATTATGAATGCTGAAAATTGCTATAATTATAACATAACAGCTTAAACACTAAATATACCTAAATGGCACTGGAAGTATGTGTTAAATTCCCCCCATTTTATTTCATTTCAGTACTTCCAAGTATGGCTACCGTCATCATCATCATCTGTGTCAGTGTCTTAGTCTTCATCATAGCTATGGGGGTATACAGAATTCATTCAGCTTGCCACTATACTTCAAAGGAACATGAAACTAATAAAGAAAATGAAATGGATTGGGATGACTCAGCTCTGACTATCACAATCAATCCCATGGAAGTAAGTAGAAAAGACATATTGTCCTTTATTCTTGTTATCAGTCCTATTTTTCATTTATGTGCAAGAATCTTTTTCATAAATAATCTTCAGCTACTCCCCCAATATTTACTAAATGTACTGGGTGAAAAGAAAAACATCCTTCCTACTATTTGATTGGCTTTATTTCTGATGTTGGCATGTGTCTGAAAATGGTCTCTATCTAGTATATCTAAAGATACACCCAGATCGACATAGAGAGGATGTTCAGGGTTCTATATTTCATGGAATTACTATATCAGATCTCTTTGAAGTATATTTGGTTTAATCTTAACCTAGAAGGATGTAAATACTATTAGTATCAATAATATATTGGAGTTATGAAAATTACTTTGCATACATTTTAATGACAGTGACCTTGTTCAGTCATTCAGGAAGGTCATATTACATTTTTTGTACTTGTAGCTTGGCCTTTTTTCACATGCTCAATCTAATAATGTATTATTGATGAATATGTCTCTATCAAAGCTACAATGAAAAAAAATGAGTAGAAGTGCTTGCTTAATCAAGAACAGATGGATGACATTCAAGTTGGATTGTTTTATCTGATTAATTATTTAATGTGATCTTATAGAAAAGATTTCAGGTCATATATAATTGAATGATATAACTGCTTTTTTTTACTTAGTTTCATCCTTTAGCTTTTGTGAATTTTAATAAGGGAGGTCACTTTCATTTATCTCTTGGTAAATCTGTTAGTCTATAATTTCTCAGCTGATAGTTAGCTCTATCAAATATGACTATACATTTGAAGAGTGATTTCTTTTTCTTTTAGGTACATCTATACATGTACCAACCACACACTCTCATTTAGAGATTTAGAAATAAACTTTTAGAAGCTTCTTTTCTTCTTATCAACAGCTCCATTTTATGTTTCTTTATAATACATAGAAATATGAACAACCTTGTGGAGAAGAAGAAAGTGATGAGGAAGAAATTGAAGATGAAGATGATACAACCAGTGCAGAGTCAGATGAGACTGAAGAGGAAGAAGAAGAGGAAGAAGCCATAGGGAATAAAGGAGACAAACAAAATACAACCAGGCAAGATCAGTTGGAATGGGATGATTCAACATTACCCTACTAGAATCTTTAGTTTTCTTTCTCTTTTTGTATAAACCAATACTGTGTATTTTGAGTCAATCCTACTGATTCAACCATATCTTGGATCTATGAATTAATTGACAGTTTAACTTCCTATTGACTACAGATGATAAAACTGCATTGTCTGAATTTGATATAGTTGTATCACAACTACTCCCAATAGTTGTTCCTTTCCTAATATGTGAGTAATAGCACCTGGTAAAGCACAGCATACAACTATTAAAGAGTCACTTGTAAAAAGGACAGCAACCTGACATCATACGTTTGTTAGTGCTGCTCTAGTTTCATGAAAAACCCTGTTTCTTTTAAAGGGTGTATAAGCAAACCCAATTCATCAGACTATAAAGAGGATAGTCCAGGTTGCTTTTAAAATTTTCCAAAGTTCACACACATATATAAACTCTTTTTGGGATTCCTTTTAACTCTGCCTTGTTAAAGATCCTACTGTCAAAGATAGTAGATGTACATGCTACTCAATGCACAGGGCATATTTGCACATATCTTCATTTTCACTTTTTTCTTGTGGCTATTTGACCTTTGCAGAGAGTTTCAAAACACACTAAACTGTATATGTCTGTGCATGTATAAGAATGCACTGCTAATGTCCAAAGTTTGCTAAAAAGAATTCTTGTCTAGTCCCTCAATTGAAATTTAGTTAAAAGGCATGTAAACCCTATAAATGAAACCTTTGTCTGTGATGGTTTTTCAACGCCACACAGATTAAGAAATATTTTCCCTTGTGTGAAAGATAAAACTAGAGTGTTACTGTAGCTAATACCTAGACTTTTGATCTTTAAATAAAGTATCTTCTGAGAAAATGTAATTATAAATAATCATCCAGTTACAGAATTTTATGGCAGCTCTGTACTGTCACAGAGTTTGCTCAGAATTCAGACATGTGCTACTGTATATGTAGGAATTTAAATAACATTTATAATCTCAGGAAAAGAACCCACTCTTTTGCATGTTAAAACACTCAAAGCTCTGATGCATTGTTACAGATGGAATAGGTGTTTGATATAGTCCGTTGATCATTAAAATAAATTCTAGCAATCAAACAAGTAATGTCATAGTAAAAAAAAATCATCTACATTTTAAATTCCTCCCCCCCTCTTGTCGTAGATCCTTCTCTTCACCAAAGATATTTTATTTGCAAAATTACAAAGAATTAAACACAGAACTAAATACAGAACTTAAAAGTAAAAAAAAAATAAATCTGATAGCATTTGAAAACATTTGATAAAGAATAATATTGGGTAGTTTGCATTTTTCCAGCTAACCACTATATTTTGAAGGTTTATAAGTTTGTGTGCTTTCTTATATATTTTTCTCAATATTTGTGGCTCTACATTTGAATGCCAAATAGTGCAGTATTTGATGCTGTGCATGTTTTAAATATATACAAACATAGGCATTTGATGAAGAAGCAAAATGTTTTGTATTCATATTTTCTTAAAGATTTTGGGGCTCTTGTTCCTTTTTAGCCCACCCATTGTTGATAAAATCTCCTGTCCAATTGTTTTAGCTCAACAGCAAATATATTTGCATATAGAATGCATGTGAAGATGTCCCTCTTGTGATTACATAACTCATTGCCAGGCAAAAAAGTAACAAGAGCTTATTTTTATGTTTGCTTTTTATTTTTATCATTGCTTTGAATGAGTGTCATTTCATCCTTTAATGTCAAGAATGCCTCTATGTGTGACAACTTCAGAAACAGAGACTAGTGCTGTCTGTGGCTTTGAAAGAGCCTCAAATATTACTTTTTTTCTAGGAATAATTTTAGTAAAGGGTATATAGGAAATTGTCTGTACAAGTTCAGACTATTGTCGTTATACTAACTAACAGCAACTGCCTACATTCTCCTATTGGATCTTTTAATTAGAAATTACAGAGACTCTGTGTGCAAGGTAGCTGCTTTACCACTAGACCATTACATGCCCTGCTATTGTGCAAAGCTTTACATCATTTTGAATCTTGAAGGACTAAAGTAAATCTCTTTGAGCAATTGCCTATATCTAATGAAGGTAGTACTCAAGCTTTGAATACGATGAAATGATATTATATTTTTCTCTGAAAGCATATAGATCTTTCATAACTGTGCATGATATGAGAAATACATTAAAGCATATGATGATGACAGTGACGATGAGACAATGATGATGATGATGATGATGAAATATATATATAGTTCCTACTGAATCCTAATAGCCTATTAGCATATCCTAAATTAAAAATTAAATAATTCAAATTTTAGAATGCACGAATATTTCCTCTTCAAAGTAAAATACATGATAAAGCTATATACTTGCTTATTTATTTTAACAACCTACAGAACCAGATGATATTACCTGGTTTTAACTGGATTAAACTTTTCTACAATGTTTTTGTTTTACTTGAAAAATACAGCTGTTCTACAACTTCCAAATTAGCTTCTATCTGTTTGACTTCTGAGGCAAATATTATTCAAACTGACTCTTAATTTTATATGTTCACACTGGTCTTTTAAACTATGTGAACTATGTGTATCTGAGTGCAGTTTTACTCTGCAAAATAATATAATAAGTGAATCAAAACCCAAAGGCCTAAAGTAATCTAAAATTATGTCTCACTTTAGATATGAAAACTGACTGGGTAACTTTAGGCCAGTCATACTCTCTCAGCTCAGTCCACATCACAGGGTAGGGGTGCTATCACCTTAGGTAAATGAATTTTCCTTATCTTTCATGGCCACATTTCTAACATACAAGTAATTATTTCTACATTTTTATTTATTTTGTATGATTAGGAAAACACAAGTGCCCTATCTCAGTCTGTTTAGTTGTGTGAGCTAAAGGATTTCTTTTAATTTTAGGAGATGTAGTACTGAACTGTCAATTTTAAATTTCTTAAAAACTGCCAACATTTTATACTGTGTTGAGCATTACCCAGTAAAACAGGTTGAGTGAAAAAAAGTAAGACAAATGTTCCACCCTCACCATCAAATGGGGAGAAATAGTGAAAACTGAAGGAATCAAGGTGCCCAGTGGAAATATCAAAAGGCTGTATAAGGACAATTACTACAAATACTTGAGCATCCTTCAAGCTGACAACATCAAGCACAATGAAATCAAAAATAAGTTAGAATCAAATACGTCAAGAGAGTGAAGAAGATCTTTAAGTCCAAACTCAGTGGAGGAAATACCATCAAGGCAATTAATACCTGTGCAATTCCAGTCATTAGACTGTACAGCTGAAATAGTTTACTGGACTCAATCAGAACTAAAAGACGTGGATATGAAGACCAGAAAAATAATGACAATGAATCATGCCCTTCATCCTTGCAGCAATGTTGACAGACATCAATAAGAATTGGGAATTGCATGGAATGTTTCAAGCATATCACGTGGTTGAAGAAGAAAAAAGGGCATTGGAAAAATATCTGAAGGACAGTGAAAAAGTTGCACTGAAGTTTCTATACTAGGAAAGCTTACTGAGTATTGGAAAGACCAAATTGGCTTACAAAAAAGACTAAATGAAACACAAAAAAGAGACATGGGAAGACAAAGTATTACATGATCACATTAAAAATATCAGGCAAAGCATATATTACCAAGACCTGGCAGTGGCTAAAAGTTGAAGAAACAGACAGAGGGGTTAATTTTGGCTGCACAAGACCAAGCTTTAAGAATAAATGCATACAAAGTCAGAATAAAGAAGATGGCAACAGACAGCAAGTGCCACTTTTGCCAAAAATTGAAGAAACAATAAACTACTTGGCTATCTGCTGTAAGAAGATTAAGCAGACTAACTACAAACAAGCATGACAATCCAAAGCATTAGAAGATCTTCAAGAAATACCAATTGCCTGCAAGCAAGAACTGATGGGATCACAAAATAGGAAAAGTTATAGAAAATGAAGAAGCTAAAGTGCTCTTGGACTTTAGAGTATACTGTAAATAGATAGCATCTGTCACATAACACCCAAGACATAACAATTGTCTATAGGGAAGGGGGGGAAAAGTCTGCTTAGTGGATCTGACAATACTTGGAGATAGCAGAATAGAAGAGAAAGAGCTGGAGGAAATAACAAAATACAAAGACTTCCAAATAGAAAGGAAAAGTAGTACCAATAGTAATAGGCACATTGGGTGCAATTCCAAAACAATTGCAGCACCTTGGAACACTATCAGCACTGCCAAAATAACCATCATCAATTGCAAAGACAGCTTTAATTGGAATAGCTTACATACTAGGATAATACATTTAACAGCATGGAACATCAACATCTGCCTATCTTAGGTCCTTAGGAAGAATGCAACAGGTTGGTAAAAACATGAAATCCAATCTACATATCTAGCTGACTGTGTCACCAATCATGATAATCATAAAAAATTAAAATTGAAAGATTATGACATGAAGTGACTGTGGTGGTACCATTGGTTATCAGCACACTAGATGCTATTGGACAGCAGAAATGTTAGACAAAATTTCCACCTATCGATTGCAAAAGGCCACACTACCTAGCTACACATATATTATGCCAATGCATTACAACATCCTAGGCTCTTGTGAAGAACTTGATGTATATGAAAACTAAAACCAGCTAAAGAATTTGCAGCTGTGACTTCATACTGTTGTGAACAGATAATGAGAATAATGACTCTATAGGTTGACAAAAATGCCAGATCCAGTCTAAACATCAGGATGACTGAACAAATGACCATAATATGTCAATTATTATTACAACTGTCACTGTTGAAAGATCTGAAAGAGAAGGTTAGAAGTAAGTCATCATGGAGGAAAATGATTTGATGACATGTAATCAATCAATCACAGTCAGATATATAATCTTTTAAATGTATTTATTATATTTATATTCAGCTCAATTTTCCAGGACATATATGTCACTATTTCCTACAGTTTCTTCCTACAATAATCTTGTATGATGTGTTGTTTCTTTACCAAGTCTTTCCATTGAAATTCTATGGCTAAGGATAGATGTGGACCTACTTCACTCATCTTTACTCATCGTCCAATACCTTAAATCTGTTCAAACGCTAAAGCGATAATGTTTTCTGCACCTAAAATGCTGTTTTCTGGAGCTGCTAACTTGTTTTACTAGGCCAATAGCCAGATGCAGTTGTGCTATCCTACCAGCTAACAATTTAATGTTGATTTGAGTTCTTCAAACTCTCTGTACATATTTAGCAATAAAACCAGAAGGCATGCCATTGAAGACATACCTCAATTAGTGTAACAGCATATTTATGGCTACATTTCGAAGATTGTTAGAATTTGGCTGACAAATACAAGCAATTAAGTCGTTAAGTCATCAAGACGAGACAGGAAAACAATCCAGAGTTTGCCAGATCAGGTACAAATACTGGAAAATCTAGGAATAACACCACCAGCAGCAAAAAAAAAGAAACAAAAAACAAAACCAAGACTTTACAAATAGAAGAAACAAGGTTTGTAATTATGAAGAAATCTTGGCAACTGCAGCACATTTATTCATTGGATAGAAATCTAGAAAGTCTGTATAGATCAGTCTTTTCCAACTTCGGATATTCCAACCGTGTTAGGACTGCAACTCTCAAAATATTGGGCTGGCATGAGACTACAAAGGGTGTCAGATTTCAGAAGGATATTTCTGACAACAGAAATATTAAAAAGGTTGTGTGTGTAATGGTACATAGGAATGTGGGAGACTGGGCAAAAAGATGCTGCTAAGGAAAAGGTGAGATATGAGACAGCTTAGCCTTAGCTCATAGCTAGAAAGTGGGCAGGGAATAGGCTCAGAAAAGAGTCTCAGTCCAAATAACTAGGCAGTAACCTTCTCTAGTTATTTGGACTGTTATAAGAGATGGCCGGGGAGGGAAGAATTGTTCTTTTGAACTTGAAGATTCCATCAATGTAGCTTTACAATTAAGTAGAATTAGCTAATATTCCTATCTGGTTTACTCCACAAAGCCTACAGGCTGCTTTAACTCCAGAATTCGTGGTATTCATAAATATAGTCTGCCACTACATTAATTAATGAAGCTGATAGTGTCATCCTGTTAATTTCAGCTAAGTGTGAAGAGACTAGGGTTCAAGGTCTTAATATGCATTAACTCATTTCTCTAAAGAGAATTGGAATTTTGTGATATATTTAGGTTTGAAATTGTGATTAGTAATGTAATTAAAAATAACTATCATTCTTCTCTGCGTGGATCATAGGTCCTATATTATAAGATGTTTGTTAAATTCCTGGAGAGTAATACCGAGAATGGAAGTCAAAATTACAAAAGTCCTATTATTATTTATCAGATCGAGATATATGAATCAATTGTTTCATGAACAAGTATCATTTATTTCAGTTCATAAGTAATTAAATACCAAATTAATGTGAAATGTGATAAGTGATTGTAACAATTAAGCCTATGTTTTTACCTTTAGGAAGGAAAGATAAAATTACTCTGATAGATACACAAAAAATTACTGTCATTCACTGCAATGATATGCTTTTATTTCACATGATTACAGTTTGTGAGAACAGTGAGATCTTTTTGAAAACTATAATGTTACTTTTTTATCCAACAAAAAAAATAAAGCTCAATCAACTAGAAAATGACCATAATTGCATTATCATATATTCGATTTATAAGCTGAGTTGTAAACAAGTTGTTATCATTTTTCAATCATTTTTTTTTCACTACAAGCAATCACATCACAAGAACTTATCAATACGTTCACATTCTATAGAAATCACAAAGTGGTAAAACTGGTAGCCTTCAAATAAACCAGCTTAAAACATTATTTGGCATCCAAGGTGGTTTTCCCCCCTTAAGCTTGTTTTCTGATTTAGGTAAACTGTTTAAACTCAGGCTTTTTGGTTTCATCATTTCAGAAAAGCAGTGCGGCTGCAAATATTAGCATATGTGATACATATATACACACATAAAAGATAGTTGTTTCTTCATTAAAAATAACCATATAATGTTTATGGGACAATTCTTTTTTTATATAGCCAGTTTTTAATCATCTTGCCTGAGGCAAAGGATCCAAGTGCAGTAAATCTTTAAGTTTGGCATGTGATTAATATCCCAACTTTTGTGATTAATGTTTTCTCTGTCTTTGTGTCTTGTTTTTTCTTCCTTCCAGTATTATATATAATGTTTTTCTGATTCCTTGCTCAAATTCTTCTTATACACAACAGATGTTGCGGACAGGAATAAAGGTATCACAGCCATTTGAAAAATATCATATGAAATGTAATTAGATTTTTTCTTCTCTCAATAACTTGATAGAAAAAAGCCTGAATGTTTTGTGAATTTCAGACATCTAGCAGTCAAGACTTTGCAGTATGATAGAATTGAATGATGGTAGTACTTTAAACTTTATAAAGAAATACTTGCTCCCCAAATTAGACCATCCCTCTCTACAAGTACATGATACAACAATTATGTTTCTTAACTCAATAGTCTTTCATTACATTGTGCTTGCTTTGCCTATTGCAAATTTGTTTAGGATATTAATGGAAAATAATTGATATAGTAGCATAATCCTATGCATGCACTATTGTATGTTTATGTCTGATCTTACAATAGAAGTATTAAAGGCAGCAATATAGAAGTCAGCTTTCTTTAATTTCATACAGAATTGGGTGAGATAAGCTTACATCTACTGATTTTGGATGCACAACTTGATCTGTATGTACAGATGAGTTAAAGTAGCGTAGTAGCACCTTGCTATAAACAGTTAAAAGATACTTCTCTTTCAAATGATTTTTCTTTTTAAAAAAAGCAAATTCGAAATGTAAAAGTTACAAAACCATTCACACTCTGTTACAGGCAGATTTTTATCTATTAGTGAAGGCATCCTGAATAGGCAATTTCTTCCCAGTCATTCCTACTTTCACAAACACAAGTGACACATTCCACAATGTCCCTAAGAGGGACATCAGGGAAATTCCTGTGCTGAATTAAGTGCATTTTGCAGATGAAACCAGTGTTCACATTGATGAGAAACAAAGCTTGAATCTGTACAGGTAAGTACCGGTATATATTATTTATACACATAAAGAATGTACAAAATTAATAAGTGATCTAGACTGTTGTAGAATAATAATGTGTAAGTATTGGGTAATTTTTCACAAGTCACTTCATATGCTATTTACTGTATTTTTCGCTCTATAAGACGCCCTCCCCCCCCCCCCAAAATGGATGGAAATGTCTGTGTGTCTTATGGAGCGAATATTGCAGCCAGGCCGCAGCGGCGGGGTCCTTTTACAGTCTGAACCCTGCCGGAGTGCAGGAGTCAATAGGCAGAGCTGACACATGAGAGGACATCTATCTGTGGTCCTCTCAGGCTCTTCTTCCTGCCCTCACTATACTTTTGCTCCATATTTGGCACTCCATATAAACAATGAGACGGCACTCCAGATTCATTTTTTTTTCCTCCTCGAAACCTAAGTGCGTCTTATGGAGCAAAAAATATGGTATATGCTTTTAATATGCTTTTAATAGTATTTTCTTTAGTAGTATACTACATTCATTTCCCATTGTGTAGTATACATAGTGGCTTATAATAATCAAATGGAAAACACTAACATGAATTTAAATTGTAATATTAGATACAACCATTATAGCAATGTAAACATAAGTTAAAACAGCAACACTCTGCTACCTCAAATATTAAATGCAAATTGGAGTTTTAACATCATTTAATAGATACCAATGATGGTAACTTATAAATACATGTTACAAAAATAGACTGGCACTAATGATACATGCTTTATAAACAAGAGCCTATAAATCATGAAGGCATACAGGAAAGAAATTATATCTTTATAATAGCATAGTAGTATTTTGGATTGTTTCCAAAAACAGACTAATAATTAGACCTTATTGGAAAAACAGAAAGCAACAAACCAAAATTTATTTTCCTGTCATATTCCTAATTTCTCTAAATGTTCAGAGGCAGTTCTGCATATAATGCATTACACTCATCTGTAAGAAATATTGGTAATTTGGCAGACATTTTGATATGTTTTGTAGAATGAAATAAATCTGAAGATTAATTAGTACTGAAAAGTTAAAATGTGTGTGTTGAAAATTTAGTGTGTGAGACAGGAAGTAGAAAATTAGAAAGATTAAATCTAATCAGAAACAGCAGGTTAATTTGATAAAACACATGGTACACAAATCATACATATCACTGTACTGAATTTCTAATATTAAGCTCTTTTCCACTGTATAAACAGTGCATATTTCCCAGCATGTGAATTTTTCATGGAAAAAGGGTCATTGTACTATTGATAAGCACTATCGCTTTAATTTCCAAAAGGTGCATCAGAACACATGAACTTAAGACCTCTTTGTAATGCCTTAAAGATGCATGTTTTCCTGTCATGAAGATTAGCCAGAGTATACTGTAGCAACTTTAAAATATTGCAGATACTTACATTCCTGTGTGCTCCAAAGCACCTTTTAGAGATCAAGACAATTTCCATGACATGTACAAGTACTTTTGAATATTTACTTAAGTTTCATCTATTGATGAGATGAACTGAACACAGCTATAAAAATTGGTGTGAATTAAGGATGATCCATAGCATCAAAACTAAGGAATAATTCAAAAGAAGTAAATTGTAAGATTACTGGAAAAGAAATGTTATATCTGTAAATCTCATTAATTCTTAATATTCTTGTTGTTTCAATGAATGAGTACTGTTTTTATGTACCAGTACTTATACTTGTAAGTGAAAAATGTTATATAAATTGCATAATGTCCTAACTTACACCTAGAATATGACCCAATGTGGATTGTGAGAAACTAATCCTTTTCCTCTATGGATAGATACAGATGTGCATTTCTTCCTGGTATTAAACCATATGCCATTTTACATTGGTAAAAGTATATATCACAACTATTCTGAAAAGTAAAGGCCCTATAATTTCTGTTTTACAGTTAATTTCAATACTAAATGAAAATTTAGATTTGACACCGGCAGTGAATATTCTGATAATAATCAGAAAAAACATAAAAGATATTTTATGTTGATGCAGAGAGGTATACATATCCCAGTTAAAGATGTTATAGATCTACAGTAGACTAATGTTTAATAAATATTAAGAAATAATTATTGAATGTTTTATTTTATAGGAGCAAAAGGAAAGATATGTTACTGTCAAGATTGTCATACATTTTAAAAAGCAGCATGATAGCTGTATAGATCATTTTCAAATGTTTTAGTATCTGGATGTATAGCATCTGGATATCTGGTGTCAGATCCTTGACTAGGACTTGAATGATTAATTATTAAGTTTTTACCAGTCTTAATAGGTATTTAATTGTAGATTGCCCTCACATAATAATATATCAAATTTATATGCTCCCAGTGACTCTCGGCAGTTAATACACTTTCTACCCCATTTCTATTGAAAAGTAATTGCTTAATGAGTAGTAAAGCTTAGATTTATCCCACAAATAATGATATATAAATGCTGATAATATTCTAAACAATACTGCCAAAATTATCAATATTTCAGCATTGAAAATATGGATTATAATTGTAGGACATATTTCTGCCTACAATTATAATTCCTCAGAATTAAGGAATCTCTTACTAATGCAGACATGGTATGTGGTATGTTAAATAGTAACAATTTTTATTCTATTTTAAATATTCATGCTTTTTCCTATCTTGATCATTCCATATGTACTTATTACATCTTCTAAACTTAAAAGATAGAGTTATTACTTCAAACTCAGCATTGTATGTTCTTAACAACATGGTATCCTAATTAATTTATCAAAATATTATGAATTTACGTCTTCAGTATAATCATTTGGTATCATATGTGGGTACATTTCTGGGATTTACAGTTGTCCTAGTCATTTATAATTATCTTTGTGAGGCAGTGATGGGATTCAACCAGTTCGCAGCTATTCGGGAGAACTGGTTGTTAACCTTCTAAGCAGTTCTGAGAACCGGTAGTTGGAAGAAATCTTATTTTGTTTTTTTCCACTTTACAGGGCTAATCCTGTAAGGAAGGCAGGAAGGAAACATTCTGGTTTTGTTTCTAGCCTAATCTTTATTGCCCTGCTTACAGAAACTGCCTGTCTGGTTAATCCTTATTACATTGTAACAGCTAAGGCGAAGCGCCCATCGATTTGAGTGATGTTGAATTGGCCCCGCCCACGTGGTCAAATGACCACTGAGCCATGCCTACCCGGCTGGTCATTAGAACAGAAAACCGGTTGTTAAATTATTTGAATCCCACCACTGTTGTGAGGCTTGTTTTGAGAAACATCAGAAATGAAAGTAATGAAAGCAGCATTCAGGGAGGCAAATCTCTAATGTGTGTTAAACAAGCATACAAACTGGTATAAGAATTCCTGCAACTGTGATATATCAATGCAAGCCCCAGAGATAAGACTCCACTTGTTATACCTTTGTACCTTTTCACCCTACAAGTATAGAGAATAATTTCTTTTTATGTTTTGTTATGGTTATGAACTAGATTGGTTTCAGTCTGCTTGCTTCTTTCCTTTTCAAAACTAACTTTCACACCATGCAATCTTACAAAAGAAATATCTTAGAATCTAAAAAGAAAAGCTCTTACAAAGTATATGAAATTTCTACTGCCACAACTTACTGAAATTTATTTCCTCCAAGCATGGTTTTGCAGTCTATCCCTTGTACATGTGATCAGTGCTGTTGGTTAGTAGTCATGTAATAAATTGTCTAAAAAGCAATTACAGATAAATTTTACTGACATCTTCCTTTTTTATCATCATCACCATCATCACCACTGCCATGTTGTTGTTGTTTGTTGTGTTGTTAAAAAAAATACAAAGGTTGCTGGAAAATAAAAAGGGAAATGAGAAATGGTGAGGGAAAAAGAGAGAGAGAAAGGCAAATACCAACTCATGAGCTTCATCCAAAAGTTTATAACTCACTGTTTTAGGCAGATAGTAGAATGTATGATCTGGATAATGGGATGACTTGGTTTTAAGGAGATACTATCTCAACAGTTTTGTTTCCATAGAAAAGATGGAGGGTTCTAAGTAATATGATTTAGGATAGAAGGGGCAGCAGGAGACAGAAATGAAAAATACCACCATTTATGTGAATGCTCTAAAAAAATAAGAGTTTCTAGTCAAGTGAGAGGAAATGATTTTAGAGCTCAATCTGGAAGGCTTTGAATGCAAGTAAAGTTAAGGAGATTTAGTCAAGGTATGGGGATATGGATGGAAAATTGCCTAAAAACAAATCTCCTCTGCAGACACACATACATGGATGTTTTTTAACCTTCATGGGAGATTAAATATTAAGCAAAATAAGCATCATTTTCCTAACAGTAAAATATTGAAATACTGCAGACATGCTGGCTAGTGAATTGTTTTATAAGAGCCATCAGAAGTTACTGGGCCACACTTTAATCATGCAGCATATCTGCATTACTGAACCATTCAAAGATAGTCTTTCTTTGTATGAAAGTCTCTTTCTGCTTTCAGAAGAGAACTCTGAATTCAATTCTGAGTTCAGCAATGAAAAGTTATCATGACCCTGCGCTTTTAAAAAGATCATTTTCTTAGGCAGTGACTTTTGGGAACAGTTATTCTTCACTGTATTTTATATTAACCAGACAGTAAAAATGCTATTTTCCTACACTGGAAAATGCATGTAGTTATTTTTTCCTTTCAATGTTTGATAGATTTGTTTCCTCAGAGGCTTATTACTTTATTCTGCTTAGCAATAATTCTACCTTGGCATTTTTTTTAATCCAAAAGTTGCAATGTCACTGGCAGTTTTATCACTGAATAATCTGATCACTGTTTGAGAGCAAATAAAATAAAAATGGGATACCAAGATATCTTATCATTTGCTTCTATATTTGATCATTATATTTTAATACATTATTGTACATGAGAGAAAATCAAACAATATTTGGAAACACCTTGTTGCTAAGTTAAATTATGTAAGAGTGGATAATATATGCAGGATAAGGAATTCAATGAGTATATGCAATTCAGAAGGAATATAAATTCTTTTTACAATATGACTGTATTACAGATCTGCTTATTGTTATTTTTTAAGAACTTTAAGAAAACATGGTTAAAATAATCACATAAATAACTAAATTGTTATATAGAGAGAAAAAGTTGGTTTATTTTCTTCTCCTTTTCTTCTTCATATCCTCAACTATGTGATGTAAACCTTGTCACTTTGAATGATAACCTCTGAATTTCAGATTGTAAAAGGTTCTAAGTTTTACACCGTTATTTGCAAAATTTATTTTTTAAATCCTTGGCCTGCACATGTACTAAAAATATTCCCTTTTTTTGTGATCACTCTGGCACTTTCTGTGAATTGGCCAATAAATATGGTTTTAGAATTTCACATAAAAATTACGTTCAATGATCTTTATTTTTTTAAATGTGTGTGAGTCTTGTACTGTGAAGAAAAATAAGTTTCTTTCATTAATATTTTCATTTCAAACAAAAATAATGGCTTCATAGTAATCTTATGAGTATAAATATATTCTGTCAATATGGATGTACATGAAAATATGAATTGGTATGGGAGGCAGCATAAGATAGAGAATAAATCCATGATGGTGGGAATGAGATAACATGAGAAAGTAACATGAAAATACACAAAATGAGATGCAGGACAAACTTTAATCTTCCTCTTGTTAATGCTTTGTTTTTCACATCCCCAAAGCAAACTTGCTTATCTTAATTGAATGAATAATATTGTTATAATTAAAGTGGAACATACAGAAAGTTAATCTGAAGGGAACCTAACATTCACCAAAATAACCAAAGAACCAGATGTTTTTAAAGTCATATTTATTTCAACAAGCTTTCTTGATCACACTAATGTACATGTCAGTCGAACAATTCTAAATAGGATTTTGTGGAAGCATGACGAACTGTGTAGTAATAGGAAAATAAAATGAAACCATAGGGTCTCTTTCACTTATACTGAATCTCAATTTACACTAAATACACTGGAACATAGTTTTGCTTCCTGAAAAAAATAGTTTTGGTTATTATGATAGACCCCTTCAAACTAAACACAAATATAGTTTCAGAATTACTAAATCATGCAGGAATCTTGAGAAATATGAAATTAACTTTTTATGACAATAATGAATTTAATTTACTAATTTAAATTAGTAAAATTAGATTTTATACACACACACTTACTCTGTGTGTGTGTGTGTGTGTGTGTGTGTGTGTAACAGAATATTTCTTTAAACAATATATAATAGGTTAAATCACAAGTTATTTTTCTCATTAGCACCCAAAAATATATAAGATATACCCAAAGTATTCAGGAGGCAAAATCTTTTTTATCCAGTGATATACAGTAGCTTAGGCCGCATATAGTTGGTCTTTCTGGAAGTGAAGCAGGATCATCCATGGTTAATATTGGAATGGGGGACTGCTTCAAAGTATGGAGGCTGTGGAACTTCAAGATGAATGGCAAGCTTCAACACCTTCAAATGAACAGAAACAGCAGCCACAGGTAAGACTGAAGGACCAGCAAGTAGACCAATCCCACAGAACCTCTCCAGCTAAAGAGAAGATGGGAGATCATCCATGTGGAGCAAAAAGGTAAATAAAAGCATGATTTAAGAAAGTTATAAGTGAATTAAGGGACCAGACAAATGGAATGGAATGAATATGAGGATGTGGACTAAACTTAAAAACTGAAAAAACATGGGGGGAGAGAATAAAAACCATTTTCTAAAAACAAGAAGCCTATGTGGAAATGTCTATGAAATCACCAGGAATCAGGTTCAACAAGAAACACTTTTAATTTTTTTACAAGTAAAATTCAAGAACTAGTCATAAATACTACTCATTCACCACCATTGTGCCTTTGGAGAGCTTGCAAAAAAGAGGTCAATAACTGAAGATGACTTGTATTCAGCATTGCAGCCATCATGCCTTCTTTCAAATTGCACCATTGCATTCCTTCTCCCCCAGAGCTTTGCACTTTATTACCCTAGCCCACTGTCTTATTTTGAAGTTTGTATTTTGACCCTTAAGATTTTTTATTTTTGTTAAAAACTTTTGATGTCCTTTTCCAAATATAATAATGTCTTCCATTTTGGCTATATCACTTTGATAATTCAACCTTTTGCTTACTTTTAAAACAGAGGATAATTCTGATTTTATATTAATGTCACATTGCTGATGAAGAAAGAATAAAATCAACAGCTACTAAGTACCACACCTATTATCAGGAAGAGATTACAATGGGACGATCTAGATATACATAGATAAATCTATTTTAAATAGTAAGAATTAAAATATGACTAACATGATCTATTAAACTGAGTTCTAATATCTGATCCTTTAAACTGAACTATAAAAACTGGACTTGCTTCTAAATTTTGATTAATCAAAATATCACATCTGAATTTGTAACAGCACCTGTGTAGTTTTTCAGTAGAAGGACTGAAATGTATTCAGCCTACTATCCATATATTTCAAATATTACCATGAGATCATTTGATAAAGGACTTATTTTTAGAGTATTTAAATAAAATCTACTAGCTTGAGTTTTCCTATTTACATTTTCTTGCATTGAAGCCAATCTATAAAACAAACTTCCTAAAAGATTTATCTGAAACCTTCTGGGTTTAAAAAGGATTAGAGAATAACTCCATTCACATTCATTGCACTGATGGATTGGAAGTAGAATGATTTATTGTGGTTTTTAAAAACAAGTCTTGAAGATTAGGTTAGAGCAGACAAATTCTGAAATCAAATAAAAACAGGATGGTAAGATGAAAAACTTTACCTTAAGCCCAAATGGTATACTTGTCAGAGGCATGTTAATCAATTGTGTCAGGAAATAGCCCATATATCAATGTGGTAAATTGCTTTGGGGGCTCATAGGGTTGTATAAGCAATGTACCCTGAAATGAACAGGCTTTGTGGAAGGCATATTTGGTTAAATGTGAAGACTTTATGACTCAGATTAACTTGAAATAAATATACTTTGATTAATCACTTCGAGAGTAACACTTTGGACATCACTCCCAATGCATTCATTTAGTATATACACAATGCTTGACACAAATATACTTCTCTGAATTTACTTTGGAAATCAACTTACGTATTTCCATCTATTCTCTTACTCCGTGGATTTCATTCCAGTTAAGGTAATCAATCAATTAAAAACTTACTTTGCAATTTTAGGAAAATAAGAAAAAACACCTAACACAAGCAGAATAGTAAATATGTTTAATGACAATCTGAACTTATCAATTAAACATTAACCAGCCTCCCCCACACACACACATTATCATTACACCACATATATTAAATGTATTTATTTTAATTATTTATATCCCTTTTTAAATGGAAGTTTCCCAGTTCAACTTTCTTTCGTTTACCTAGAAAAAGGGTGTAGTAGGCCACAATAACTTGAAATAACAAATAACATGAAAAAATATGAAAAGTTTATATTATTTTAAAAATATTTTTTAAAACGAGTTTTAATAGTTTTTAAAAACTGCATTTTCTTTTTTTTCCCTTTGATATTGTGCTATTCTAATTGTATGTTATACCATAGCAACACCTACTTATGTGGGGAGCATGTGACATTTTTTAAAATCAATATTCAATATGTCATGCATTACAGACCTATGATCTGTTTTAATGTAAACCTCAGCACAGATTATTCATATTTTATAGTTCCTGTTTAAAAAACTGTTGATCCTTAATGACTACAGTAAAACACCATGTATATTACTTGAGATGCCATAGTTTTCCATCTCATTGCATTAATACCTTTGATACCATTAATTAAAGGCTGTTTCTCATTTCCTAGAGCTTAAGACTTCTGTTATTCTTGCATAATACTTGTTCTTCAAACAAATTCAGTGTCATGTTTTTCATATTAATGTTTGTTCTTTCAATCCCATGACTTATCCATAATATTATATAAATGTATTATTTCTCTACTGCTACAGAACTGCAAGATTTCCTAGTCTATCTATCATAGTTTTGATCCATTTACTACTTAAATTAGAGTCTTCTGCTTCATGAATATTAATTTTACTTTAATCAGAAACAGTACGGAAATGTTGTGAACTGCATGTTATGTTGTAAGAAAAGAAAAATAATTATCCTTTTTTAATCTTGAAAAACTTTTTTAAAACCCCTCGAAACACATTTTATAAAGAACCTGTATCCACTTGGCAAATAAGATTTTTAAGAAGGCTTTTGAAATTGGGATCCTGAGATAGTTTTCCAAACATCTTGTGGACTCTGCAGTGTCCTTTGTTCCCTACAGCCACAATACAGTGAGCTATGCTTTAACAAATTGCCTCTGGGTTTTGTTTTTTCATTCTTGTGTTACTTCTAACATAGACCATTCTTAATTTCTGTTGCCCGTATTGCAACGTATTGTGACTTACAAATGTAAGGAATGGAAGTGAAGAGGTAGGAATCATCAGTTATCTAACTAGAGATGTCATATAAAGATGCAACAATTTATTGTCTCCAAAGCTACCACGTACTAAACCAAGTCTTCGATAATTCAAAAAGTCAGGGGGAGAAAGTCTTAATTTATATAAAATACAGACCATGTAAAAGCTTCAACTATAACAGAAAGAAACAGCTGATATACACACTTGGCATCAGCACAAAAATATATGTGCTGGGGTTAAAGTTTTGTCAGAGAGAGAGAGAAGAGAGAAAAAGAAAATATCCAAGATAAAATCAAACTTGGTTTGGAAAGCAGTTCTAAAAAATGGCCAATTTGATTTTTGTCTTGATCAAAAACTACAGCATTTTAACTTAGGATCTGAAACCTAAATAGAATCGTATCTCCAATTAAAAAAACAAACCACTTTCTAATGAAATGGGGTAAAATGTGTAGAAATAAAAACTCCTCAGAGAATAAAGATTGCCAACTTTCCAAGAAACAGGTGCCAAACATTGAAAGCTATTTCATAGATATACTGTAGGTATAAAACAAACTGTTTTTCATTTTTAGAGAACTAACCCTGTTTATAGTTTAATATTTATAGAAGCTGCAGACCTTATAAAAGTGCTGTTAGGTTAGAAACATACCCAATCCCAGAAATAAAGTGGTATGCATTTGAAGCTCACAATTTCAAGATTTTATGACATGAATATCTCATGTTCACATACTTTGAATTCTCTGGGTATTTGGGTTGTTAATATAAAGTGAGGGATAGTAAGATTAAATATATAAAAATGCATCTTAATTTAAAGAAATATCATATTAGGAAGGACCAGAAGGAAAACCACACAAACAGCACATATAATATTACAACCAGATAAAGCAACGTGAGCCAAAAGCAAAAAAATCAAAATAGTGAAAAATAGTAAAGAAATAAACTCAAAAATTGTAGCAATGAATAACTTGTTGAATTAAACAATAACAGTAAACCAAACATTGTCATGTTTGTCCTCAGTCTGGGACATACCCAAGTTAGAGAAGAAAAGGGAGGGAATTAAGCCGTAGACTGGCCTTGTGGAGAGATTACAGCCTGTAATACCCTTCTGCCAAAGGCAGCATCTGCAGAAGCAAACTTATCCAGCCTATAGTGACTTACAAAAGAAGAGAGGGAGGACCATGTGGCCGCCCGGCAGATATCATCTACTGAAGCCTGGGTAGCCCATGCCGCTGATGTTGCAGCGCTCCGGGTAGAATGGGGCAGTATACCACCCGGGACAGGGGCCTCCCTTAATTCATATGCCTTAGCTATACAGGCCTTGAGCCACCTGCCCACTGTAGCAGAAGAAACCTTCTGACCCAGGGAAGAGGGAAGGAAGGACACCAGCAGAGCCTCAGTCTTGCGAAAGGAAGCGGTCCTTTTAAGATATCGTCTCAAAGCCCGTCGCACGTCCAAGGTATGCCATCGCCTCTCAGCAGGATGACGCGGGTTCGGGCAAAAATTAGGTAAGATCAATTCTTGGGCTCGATGAAAACGAGTGTTCACTTTGGGAACGAAAGCTGGGTCGAGGCGTAGAACAACCCGATCAGGGTAGAAGACGCAGAGGTCACTTCTCATGGACAAGGCTGCAATTTTGGATACTCTGCGAGCCGAAGTAATTGCCAATAAAAAGATCATCTTTAAAGACAAGTAGCGTAGGCTGGACGAAGCAATGGGTTCGAACGGTGGACCCGTCAAGGCCTGCAACTCCAAGGTAAGGTCCCAAGTGGGGTAGCGGTGAATCGGCGGAGGCCGCAAGTTTGAGACCCCTTGGAGAAAGGAACGGATTCTGGGATCCTGAGACAAAGGAACTCGCGCCTCCCCAGACAGGACGGTGGCGAGAGCCGCCACCTGTCGACGTAGAGTCGCAGGGGCCAAGCCTTTGGAGAACCCCGCATGCAGAAAACGCAGAATGTCTGGAACTGACGCTGTTGTGGGATCCACGTGCTGATCACCGCACCATCTCGTGAAGGTAGCCCATGAGGCGTTGTAAATACGAATTGTTGATGGTCTTC